TATGGTGTAACTTCTCCATTGACAGTCCCATGCTAAACTGGGAGATTTTTCTGTCACATGTTCGAGAAAGATATCCCATGTAACCTTTTTTATTATCTATTTTATGCTTTTTTCTATAAATATACATTTCCATTCATCATATATACCTCTTTAATGTGATTGGTCCGTTCGAGGTCGTTTGCTGATTGGTTGTTAGTGGTGTCGAAAGTTTAACTTTGCCACTTTGACATTGAAGTAGAGTTACGGCCTGAGTTACTTTTTCACTCACACTCTTGGGCGACAGTTAATTTCTCTTGTTGCAAAATACACGTATCCATCCGTGGTCGTCGGCGTCTTCTGATTTTCCTCCTCGGGTTGGGGCAGATTCATTACTACTAAACAATAGCAGTCTTTACGTTATCGTCCGTTATATCTTGTTATCCATATTTACACGTCTGGTGCCTTACTCGAACTTGTGTCCAGCACACTGGCTGCGTCCCCATGTCCTTCAGCAGTAGTGAGATGAAGTCTGTCTCATTTTGCGCTTGTCCATCAGATGAAACCCATGTTGCCTTGTGCATATGCATATACTTGTGCTTGTACTCGCTACCTCCAATCACCAAATCATTGGAGGTATAGAAGTCCACAGATAGGAGAGAAAGAGAGCGAGTTCTCCGTTCTCATTCATTTCGCCAACCGACAGCCTCTCCACTCATCATCCTGATGAGTTCCCTTTCTGTATTCTCTGTCTGCTCCCAGCTCGGCACTCACATCACCCATTAGCATTTTGATGTCGTCATTTCGGATTCTATCCATTGCTGTTTGCAGCTATCTATAGAAATCTTCCTTCTTCTTCTTCTCTCTCTCTTTCTCTCAGTTATGTTCTTTGTAGGCACGTACCATTGGACAATTGTAACCTTTGGTTCTTTCTTCCTTCTCTCACCCCTTTTGAGTCGAATATTGTTATTATAATGCTGCAGGAGGAGATTGGTTCCCAGTGCGTAAGAGCTTTGGCTTCTGTTAGTGATATCATGATAGGCGATCACTGTCTGCCTCAGTGTGCTCGTGGTTTTCATCTGAGTGACCAGATTGAACTACTGGCTCTTTAGTTAACAGTTAAGTAAGTCTATATCCGTTCCATCTGTTCTCATGGGTCCCGAGAACTTGCCTACCCTTGTCTTCTATTTTTTTTTCATTAGGTGGACAGCCTTCCCAGCTTCATACACTGTACGAACATTTCACGTCCCTATTACTATGCTTGATCTCGTCGGAACAAGACACAGGCTGATTGGCCTCCTCGAATTCTTTCACGGGGTCTCGTTATTCCACCTCCGATTCTAGCGGAAACAAGTTTGTTCCTCTATACATTTTTTATATTTATATTTTCCTTATGCGTTGAAGCTTCTGTAGCAGTTTGATTGGTTACGTGATAAGTTAATCATGGTATAGGTGGGTAGTAATTTACCAATATTGATGCAACACTTGCTTAGTGAATATCACGGTAAGTTATGTGTAACCGTAACTTAATTTGTCACACACGAATCGGCCTTTGGTTTGTGCCCAGGATGTTACCTGTTTAACAGCGTGAAAGTTATTTTACTACCAACCTTATTATTCATTTCAGGGACTTTTTCCTGTGAACGATGATGACAGTATACGACCTGTGCTCATTCAGGTTTCAGAGTCTAATGTTTTCTCAATGCATTTTAGTGCGTAATTCGTGTCCACACGTATATGAAAACCGATATGCAGTATGAAATAAAGGTATTAATATCTGCAATGTCAACACTTGTGGTAGAATTTATCTTAGATATTTTGACAGTGAAAATCCATGTGCTTTGGTACGTGTTATAGATGATACATTGCAGTCTCCATAAAAAAATCACGACTCAACTTCAGCATGTAAGATAGTTGTCAAATATCCAAATCGGAAAGATCTGGGGTCTTTCACTGGTTTTAGAAGACTACGCAGAATACTATGCACAGTAGCCAACGCGGAACAGCAGAAAAACGAAATCCTATACGATTGTTTATTCTTCCACTGACAATGTGACAAAATACTAGTTACTGTCAGCTGTTTATTGGAATGTACAAAATACGTCTGATCGAATTTCCCCCATCTTCTGCCGACCTGTTTACGACTTAACAAATATTACCTTATTGTCTCCCACTAAATTGAGACTATTTCGGATAAACAAACAATTCAATGTTCACTAGCATTGACAATAGTTGTGTTTCAGATAACTACTTCAAAAATTAGCTAAATGTGACAAACGCAATTACCAAAGGTAATGGAAATCTTTGCTCACAAATTCACATTCCTTTAAATGATCCACTAAACTGCATTTCGTCAGGATAGGAGAAGACGTATTATGAGTCAGTGTTTCCCAGGTGATCCGTAAATGAGACATCCGACTCTTACCTAGATTAAACGTCATGTCATTGGAATTTTACGGCTACATGCTATCTATTCAGTACATACTATTTTACGGATGGTGTGAAATAAGTTTATAATTAGTCGCCTTATCTGGAGCAACAAATCTTTACCTTCTCAGTGTAAAAATATAGTCAACTGGTTCCTCGCACATCGTCGTGCTTTGAAGCAGTAATAGAATGAATCCAGTATCATTTCAGTGAAAAAATAACTAAGAAATTAATTCGATGCAAGCGTAATTGTCGGATGAAAACAATTCGCGAGACGAAGAAATATAAAATAACTCTGATCATACAGCCCGCGGAGGAGGAACGAAAGATAAAAAAGAGTTAACGAATGCTAAAAATGTTCAACAGAAAAAGAGGATGAGAAGGACAGCTGACGGCAAACAAAGACAAATAAGTGAGTAAAAAGAGCATGAAGAGAGATAAACAGAAATGATGATTCTCCTAAATGATATAGTAGTGTAAAACTTGAAAATTTCTGCGTGGTGTCGGAGAATAAAGTAATTGTGGTGCAAGTGGGTCGATAAAAGCGCTGATTGTGAAGGTGGAGAATGGGGTTCGCTTGTTGTTTTTGTATCGGACGTTGATTAGTGTTTAATATAGCAAAAATATTCATTCAGTTATCTATAAAACACAACATCCGAACATCACCCTGCGTGGTTAAGCAAAGGCCAAACAAAATCTATCCGTAGCGCTATTTTGGATCATCTGGTGGATACAGAACATAGGATTGATGTTAACCAAGCTTTCAGAGTTATTTATCGGATACCAACAAATCTCAACTTCGCCTTAAGAGTTCGATTACTAAATATTGCTGAGGCTGTTGGGATCCACATTAGAAAGCCTAATTTGTGCGTCCAAAAGAAGTTAGTTCAGACGCTGTCCCTACCTTGGCCATCTAGGTTTGAATGATTCTCAATTTTCGTGAAAATTTCCTAATTTTAGTTGATATCCTACTCGTTATTATATCTTTATTACTATTATAATTCAAGTATTTTTAGTGAACTGTAATTGCATTGATCTTGCTTTACAAATCGATATTATTTAAAAAACACTAATATTGTTATTAACTACCAACCTTGAATATTCTGTGTATATAAACATGTATATAATTGTAGAGCCAGAAGAGGAATTTATCGAAAAGAATATTCTTTGCTCGATTAGTGTTTAGGTGACTCGACGTGTAGTCAGAATGGTTTTCGTGATGAAGATGTTGCAAAAGAGCTGTCAGTTTGACGAGTCTGTGCCGATATTGTATGAAATGTGCTCCTCCATAGGGCGCCGGGCAGTGCACTTTAACACAGCTTCTGCTTTCTCCTATGAAGAGTGAAGACTGAATTTGTGAGAAAAAATATCTCCACTCACTGATTCAGCTTCAGTTGATAACTTATTTTCTCTAACGATCACTTCCTCACAATTTAACCCCTGATAGTTTTCTAAGCATTCACAATAACTTCTTCCATTCTTTGAAATGCACTGACCACCGTTTTGACAGACAATATGTGTACAATCATCAGATTTTATTTCACAAAACCTCCCGTGATAACCTTTGCAGATAACCAAATAAGAATCATTTGTGGTGTTTTAAAGACATTTAACAGTTTGAATGCATAATAATAATAGTAATAATACAATGCTACTGATAATAATAACTATTGCCCTCAAGGTGTCATCTTTACTATTCGCATAAGAAATAAACGATATCCTATAATTCATCTGAACTTGTTTATGTTGATTTATTTGAATTTTTGATTTTCCCGTCGATCGATTGGACCAAAATGTTCAGTCTCAGGTTGACATGTCAGCTTCTTGTGCAGATGCTTCAACGATGTCTGGGCATTTAATTATAATTAAATTGGTGGATGATGACTAGCAGTGGAATCCAGGATGCGCATTTCGTCCTATTTAGGACTCGTCAGCTGGATGTACCTGCATTTCACAGTGAGTGATGATGTTCAATTAAATTAATATGACCCGTTGCACAAGAGGTGGCTCTCGTGGCACAAATGGTCTAGTAGATAACGCTTTGGCGTTTGACACTATTGGCACTGGGTTCGAGCCTCGGTGGGAACATCATCACTCACTGAGAAATGCAGTTACATCCAGCTGACGAGTTCCAAATAGGACGAAATGCACGTCCTGGATTCCACTGCTAGTCACCATCCACTAATTGTTTATGTTGACTTTATTTATTAATTAACTTTGTCTTCACATCTTCAACATTACTACTGAAGTAAGGATGTCAATGATTTCATTGTGAATTGTTTCCTCACTATGGATGATGAGTAAAAACTAAAAAGGTGTAAAAGGTGTTAGCATTTCTTAATTTCTAGTGATTCTCTAACTAGTGTTTGAAGATTAATTACACTAACAGTTATAGAATTCCTCATCGTTTCATTTCACTGATGAATATGTCTGCATCGTCATTTGAATTTTCAGGCCTGACGGTCTCTGTTTATCCTTAATATTAGACCATATTTAGTCTATAAAATTCATAGTATGAAGCCATGTGATGCTGACAAGACACTGGAGATCCCTTTACTCACTCCTCTTTTTCAACAATAACGGCTATGTACCAAAAATCAATCTGAAAAGAGTATATGTACAAATAATATATTTGATAACAGTTTGATGAAGCTTGAATTTCGATATTTGGTCATGAGATGTGCTTTTCTCGCTGAAATTCATAAAAATGTAAATTTTGGTAAATTAAACATGTTTAACAATCAAAACATTCGTGAACAATGCTGCTCAAATGCACGAAGTTACCTTCTTTACACCGACATATAAAGAGATCACTAGATTCACTTTGATTCGTTGTACCCAAATCTAAGCAGGTAGCATTATTAAGACATGGTGAATTGGCACACGGTCGTACTCGAGTTTCACACTGTGGACCGGTCCATCCAGGTAAACAGTGACATGTGTAACTATTGATTAAATCTTCACACTGAGCTCCATTTTTACACGGTGAAGAGGAACACTCATTCACTTCGTTTTCACATGATGCTCCTTCATAACCTAAGAAAATAATACACAAAATGTGAGGAAATATAATAAAAGTAAAACAAATTATTTCCCCGAGATATTCCATTTACTCTATACTAATAAACAAATTAATTACTTAGTATTTGACAACTTAAAGTCTATAAAATTTGACATTCATTTGTTGGGTTAATATGTACTAACACAAATAAGGACAGCCTAAGGAGATCATGTCGTCATGTCAGCCTATTGTCGCAAAATGAGGGTTTTCTATCGTTACAATTTCAAACACCAAATGTATGAGTAGAAGTTATTCCTAATTAAATTGCATAGTGCTTTGTTGAGAGTGTTGAAATATGTGAATTGGTAAGATGACTTATTGGCATGCTGTAACTATAGCACTCCCTACATTTTGGTTGCAAATGTATATGTTTTGAGCTGAACTGTATTGAAATATTCTACGAAAAGTTGAAAGGAATAAGTGCTGAATAATATGTTCCACCTATATGGTACACTTTTTTTAACAACTTATCTCCTTTTTGACACTGATTCATTCTATGAATACTTCATTGGTTTCATCATATAACCAATGATTGAGATTTAAAAATGATTGTGATGCTGCACTATGTCGTGTTTAAGCAGTCTCCCACTTACTTCATGACCTACGCTGTCGAAAGCATTTCCAAAGACAATGAAGTTGAGATATGGAATTGTCATCCATTCCAGGTTCTGTTCAATGGTTATTAATTCGTTGTGTCACAATTTTTTTGTGTGTATGACTTGTTTTTTCTGAATCCAAGCTGTTCTGTGAGTGGTCTTCCATCAAGGATGTCCTTCCAGGATAATGAGTTGATATCTTGCTTCTGGTAAGAAGTGCGCTTGTCCATCACAGCTTTCCTACCCTTGAGTCCTCCTTCTTTGGGAGTTAGACGAGGTAGCCCTACTTCCAATCGACCGACACTTTTTCCCCCTATCACACCTGCACTAGCTTTCCGTAAACATGTCAAATATGACATCCGTAGAACTGTTCTGATTGCTTACGGCGATTTCACTTATTCCTGCTGCTTTCCAAGCTTTTATAAACCACCACCTAATGGCCTTCACGGATTTCGATTCGTAATAGAGTTGGCGTTCACTGGTAGTAATTGTGTATCGTGTGTCTGGTGGTGGTATTTCTGGACGACTTGTAGATAGATTAGTAGATCAGTAGCCGTAGATAGGTGGTGGTGGTGGTGGTCAATTGAACAGTTCTTTGAAGTGATTAGACCAGTGTTTTCTGTGTTCTGCCTGTTTGATTTGGTTACTTGGTTCCCTTCACCATCTTTCACTGATTTCGTCTGCGTTCATTTCTTCCCGGATAATGAGTGGTGGTGGTGGTGACCTACCTGGTTATTGGGTGTAGTGTTGTGAGGTGTGTGTTTTCCGTGCAGTGTGTTCTGACTCAGTTTCAAGTGTGTCGTAAGGCATCTTTCGTGTTTTCTAGCACTCTTCTTCACTTACTGATTCATTGACTCAGCTCATTGTAGATTATGCTGCTCAGCTTCTCCCCTCGTTGTTTACCTCCTGATGACTACTTGATTTTCTGCTTCACCCATGCTTCTCCCATCTATCAACTTGCATGTTTTCGTAGAGAGGCATTCCTTATCTTGTCTCTTCATTTTGCTTGCCTGCCTGCCTGCCTGCCTGCCTACTTGAGACGTCTGTACAAGCTTCCTTCCGTGTGACTTTCACAGGGTTCGGGTGTTCTTCTACTCAGGCTTCCTTGATAATGTTGTTTAGTGTCTGTGACTTTTTCATGATGACTGGAGTGAAGGTGTCAGTTGTTGTCACTCTGTCTTTCAGTTTGTGAGTGGTAAGGATAGATTGTCGTTTACAACTTTCTTCTTCTTTGACGGCTTTCAACTTGATCTTGAAGGTTCTTTGCACTATATTTTGATGTTGACCTACCTACATGTGCTCCTCTTCTCGATTTTGTGTGCAGTAAACTTCGTCTCCACTTTCCTGAGATTAAGATGAAGTCTGTCTGACTATTAGTGTCTGCATCTGGTAGGGCCTACGTTACCTTGTGTATATCCTTGTAGCTGTACACACTGTCTTCCAACACCAAATGAATAAATGTATACTGGTCAAGAGTTTAGATAGTACATTAACGTGTTAAATACATTAAATGTTAACATATATAAAAAGGCTACAGAATTTATTTATATTGTATAATGAATAAATTTCCAATGAATTACCATATAGGAGGTATAAAACCGAACAACTTTAAGTGTTTTATTAGACTGTTTGACGAGCAAGAATAAACTATCCGCTTGTTAATAAAAACTAGATAAATTATTTACAATGACATCATCCGCAATTTTACGAGGGATATATATATATATATATATATATATATATATATATGTATTTAAAGGAGAGCCTCAGTGCAGACATTTGCGATTGTATCAACTACGTTTATGAAGATATTACTACTGGCAAGGCTCATTATCGTCAACGGAATTATAAATAACATTGTTAAAAGATGCTACTTAGATAAAAACTTATGTTTAATAAATGACATGAATCTCTGATGTTCAGAGAAAAAGAAGGCAAAAAAGAATTCCACTGAAATCGACTACGTCTACGTTGCAGACTGACTGTCCACTAAGAAATATGCATTTAAAGTAGTGAGTGATACATACCTGAAAATCCAGGTTGACATTTACAGGTATATTTGGTCTCTGTTCCTTCAGAATGGTCAGCATCATCTTGCAACAAACATTTTCCTCCATTGAGACAATGCATTTGTGTACAATAGTCCACTGTGTTTTCACAATAAGGGCCAGAAAATCCCGGTTGACAACTACACATCACACTGCTAATATCACTTCCAATAGTAAGACTAGTATTATTATGACAAGTGCCATTATTTAAACACGGTGTTTTGGAACAATCAAATGATTTCACCTAAAAGTAATAAAGAAATGAAGAATAAAGATGAAATATTTTACAAAATAAGCGCTATTATTCGTTTGTGTCTAATCCAAAAAGTGATATTCTATTAATATTTTGAATCTTACAAAATTAATAACTAACCTACGACATGAAATTAGGCTGTCACATAAACCCTAAATGCTATTAACGTAGACAAGTTTAAAAAATAAAGGAGAAATACTTCAAACGTTCTCAGAGCCAATGAATATTATGCTAAAATCTGTTGCAATGAATATTTCATCACATTACCTCATTTAGCCGGAATATTACTACTATGCTGTAGAATTTCAGTTTAAAAGTTCCTGGTTGAGCGCTAGTTAAGAGGACTACTTAATCATGAGTGAAATAAATGGAATTAGATATCGAATAAGGCGACAATGTTGCTTATAACAGGGTTATGCACATTTGGCTGTTGATTGTTTTATTTCAGAGAGTTAAATAATCGTACTGTAGCTATCAATCTAATATAACATGAAAGTAGGCAAACAGTGAAATCCAGAAATGACGAAACACTTATCATGATATATTGTGGTGTACTCTTTTACGAAGAGTAAACTAATATTTACACCAAGAAATTAACATTTATCTTCCCTTACATAACTAAGTTTATGTTCGAGATGATTTAAAATTAATTTTCTCCATACTATCCCATTTTACAAAGAAACGTGGACAGATTAAATAAAGAGTTGACCGACTGCCAACTTTATCCACTTACCCAAGAATATTTAATGCAAGTAGTCATACAACAATTTTTAGATATACATTTTACCTAGTTTTGTTGCAAATAAAAACAACTGGTTTTCTGTTTATCGTGCATAGGGTTAAACTAATATGATATGATAGCATATCAAACAATGTACGTGATAACATGTAACTGAAGGAGAGTACTAATGTTTGGCTAAATTTTAAGTCTTATTTATTATTGGTTACAGGATTTCATCATGAGCTGACATCGGTTAGAGAACCATTGGAAAACCTGGGAGTACTGGACAGTTATTTCGGCCTAGTTTGGGATTCATCAGTACACACCTTCCTTCGAATCAGTGTATAGTTGAAATGGAACTCATATTAAATTTTGCTGAATGGGATATTACGCGAATAACCATGAACTAAGCCGGTACTCTTGTCCTTCCCAGAATTGAATAAACTTTTGTTGCGTGATCGCTAAGAATATGTCATCTAACTGAGGTGAATAGTTCGCGTAAATTAGAAGAACTAAATAGGTAATTTCACGTGATTACTTCTCTTTGAAAAATAGAAAACCAGATTTTTTCAATTTATTTTACCGAAAAAAATCCCAAAACTTTAGTGTGGATCAACTCAAATTGTGACTCACGACACAAGCTTAATCCGCATCGGCAGGACTTTGTGAGTTATTCCAATACTGAAGAGCTGAAAACCATAAGCATCAAGTTGACATTTTGCCACTTTTTAGCTTTGACAGACCAGAAGCAGATAACACGAAATTAATATTCAATTATTAGAAATTTTTCATTTTCATTCTTGTGCTTAAAACACTAGTAAACTACAATGTGGAAATGTTTCACAAAGAGATGTAACTCAAATTATTCAGTAATCTGGAAATGAATAACCAGATGTGAGAGTATCTATTCAGAGGCTGAATAGCTTGCTTGTTTCACGGCTTCTGTCAAAACAGTGAGGAAATAAACTTAGTAATTTATGTTATGAAATCTTCAATTTTTCATGCCTATTAACAGTTTTTCTTCATTATTACAAAACATCCTATACCGGAAGGAGATACATATTTAGGCAGGCAATTCGTAGAAAGTGATGAAATGAAACTAATGATATCATTGGAATTTGTGAATTTCACTTATTTTCAACAAACACCTGGTGAGAAATTCAACCAGGGTACAGTTTAGGGTCGAAGATCCTACCATCAGACTGAATAAAAACATCTGAGATGCTTTTCATCATAAATTAGATAAATTTATTTCAAGTATCATGCACGGTGATGCCGTGATGCCTTTGACCAATTTACGTATTCCAGCTTCCACAATGCAAACAAGATAAAATATGAAAAAATATATTTCGACTCACTGATTCAGCTTCAGTTGATAACTTATTTTCTCTAACGATCACTTCCTCACAATTTAACCCCTGATAGTTTTCTAAGCATTCACAATAACTTCTTCCATTCTTTGAAATGCACTGACCACCGTTTTGACAGACAATATGTGTACAATCATCAGATTTTATTTCACAAAACCTCCCGTGATAACCTTTGCAGATAACCAAATAAGAATCATTTGTGGTGTTTTAAAGACATTTAACAGTTTGAATGCATAATAATAATAGTAATAATACAATGCTACTGATAATAATAACTATTGCCCTCAAGGTGTCATCTTTACTATTCGCATAAGAAATAAACGATATCCTATAATTCATCTGAACTTGTTTATGTTGATTTATTTGAATTTTTGATTTTCCCGTCGATCGATTGGACCAAAATGTTCAGTCTCAGGTTGACATGTCAGCTTCTTGTGCAGATGCTTCAACGATGTCTGGGCATTTAATTATAATTAAATTGGTGGATGATGACTAGCAGTGGAATCCAGGATGCGCATTTCGTCCTATTTAGGACTCGTCAGCTGGATGTACCTGCATTTCACAGTGAGTGATGATGTTCAATTAAATTAATATGACCCGTTGCACAAGAGGTGGCTCTCGTGGCACAAATGGTCTAGTAGATAACGCTTTGGCGTTTGACACTATTGGCACTGGGTTCGAGCCTCGGTGGGAACATCATCACTCACTGAGAAATGCAGTTACATCCAGCTGACGAGTTCCAAATAGGACGAAATGCACGTCCTGGATTCCACTGCTAGTCACCATCCACTAATTGTTTATGTTGACTTTATTTATTAATTAACTTTGTCTTCACATCTTCAACATTACTACTGAAGTAAGGATGTCAATGATTTCATTGTGAATTGTTTCCTCACTATGGATGATGAGTAAAAACTAACAAGGTGTAAAAGGTGTTAGCATTTCTTAATTTCTAGTGATTCTCTAACTAGTGTTTGAAGATTAATTACACTAACAGTTATAGAATTCCTCATCGTTTCATTTCACTGATGAATATGTCTGCATCGTCATTTGAATTTTCAGGCCTGACGGTCTCTGTTTATCCTTAATATTAGACCATATTTAGTCTATAAAATTCATAGTATGAAGCCATGTGATGCTGACAAGACACTGTAGATCCCTTTACTCACTCCTCTTTTTCAACAATAACGGCTATGTACCAAAAATCAATCTGAAAAGAGTATATGTACAAATAATATATTTGATAACAGTTTGATGAAGCTTGAATTTCGATATTTGGTCATGAGATGTGCTTTTCTCGCTGAAATTCATAAAAATGTAAATTTTGGTGAATTAAACATGTTTAACAATCAAAACATTCGTGAACAATGCTGCTCAAATGCACGAAGTTACCTTCTTTACACCGACATATAAAGAGATCACTAGATTCACTTTGATTCGTTGTACCCAAATCTAAGCAGGTAGCATTATTAAGACATGGTGAATTGGCACACGGTCGTACTCGAGTTTCACACTGTGGACCGGTCCATCCAGGTAAACAGTGACATGTGTAACTATTGATTAAATCTTCACACTGAGCTCCATTTTTACACGGTGAAGAGGAACACTCATTCACTTCGTTTTCACATGATGCTCCTTCATAACCTAAGAAAATAATACACAAAATGTGAGGAAATATAATAAAAGTAAAACAAATTATTTCCCCGAGATATTCCATTTACTCTATACTAATAAACAAATTAATTACTTAGTATTTGACAACTTAAAGTCTATAAAATTTGACATTCATTTGTTGGGTTAATATGTACTAACACAAATAAGGACAGCCTAAGGAGATCATGTCGTCATGTCAGCCTATTGTCGCAAAATGAGGGTTTTCTATCGTTACAATTTCAAACACCAAATGTATGAGTAGAAGTTATTCCTAATTAAATTGCATAGTGCTTTGTTGAGAGTGTTGAAATATGTGAATTGGTAAGATGACTTATTGGCATGCTGTAACTATAGCACTCCCTACATTTTGGTTGCAAATGTATATGTTTTGAGCTGAACTGTATTGAAATATTCTACGAAAAGTTGAAAGGAATAAGTGCTGAATAATATGTTCCACCTATATGGTACACTTTTTTTAACAACTTATCTCCTTTTTGACACTGATTCATTCTATGAAGACTTCATTGGTTTCGCTGCTTTCTAAGCCCTGTCGCGGTAAGGAGAAGAAAACCATTGGTCACTGTCAGTCGAAAATAAGTGATGCAGTATAAAACAACACAAGACGAAAGCATTTTCATTGCATTAACGACACCTAAATGGTGCCTAGCCTTTCACAATTGGGTGGCTTTCATTGATCTTCGTAGGTAGTGGTAGCTAGTAGCTAGTTAGCTAGCAATGTGACATCGAGGAAAATCGATAATTTCCCCTCAGTAAATGAAAGTATCTGGATTGAAATTTGAATTTTTAGTCAGTACTTCTTTCACACCTTCATTTCCATCTCTGAGATAATTCGAATTCGTTATATCACAGTGAAAATAATTTAATATCACTCATAGGCTCTCCTTGGACTTCTTCGCACGTAATCGTTAACCAGTTATTTATCAAGTATAAGATGTTCTAATTATTAATACTGCCTCGTCGTCTCAACAACTGCTCCCATCGACATTTACATGAAACTTGTCTTAAACACTTGCACACAATTCCTTATAACGATAAGCTAAGACAGTCACTGTTTCCAGTCGTACAACATAGGTTGATGATTTGAAATTAAAATGCATCACATGACCTGGATCACACCATACGCCTACATTAGAAACACTCATCAAAGTTAACCGTGACGTATTCATAAAAGTTAACCATTTCCCAACACACACACACTGATACATTCATTTCTATCGTCTTAACAAGACGGATATTCGAAATGTAAATATTTGTCTTATTTTACCGAACAGATAGATGAAGTATGTCAGGTGAAATAAATCTATGAGATGAATCACACTAAACATATACAAACACAAACCATCGGTCAGCCCAATAACTATTTTTTCCCTAAATTATGCACGAATGTTTCTCAAACTATTTAATTACTCCAATCATTTCCAATACACTGCAAATATACAGGTTAACACTGACGCCTAAAGTCATGATTATTATTAATTAATCAATCGAATGGGTGTTAGCCAAATAAGATAGATAATGAAGAGGATATGCGTATCTACCAGCATTGCATTCCATCCTCGAAAAGGAATCTCCCATTCACACTTTTGTTTCATACACTTGCCAATAAAATACGTGAGATGAACAATCACAACACTCATCCACCACACAGATAGTCTTCAGTGTTGAAGATGCATCTTCATGCATGAATCAGGATAAATAACAGCGTAACGCAGTTACAAACGTCAACCTCGACTTGATGCATATCCTTTCCATCCGGTCGTTGAATGACAGATACTTCAACGCATCTATCTCGAAATCCACACAACAGAAAAGTAAAGTAATATATTATCTTTCATTCGGTGACCAACTGAGTACAAGAGATACGGTGAGTAGACATGACTACTATCCGAGTAAATACATTCAGAGCAATTAGGAATTCCAATTCCTGTTAGATTTATCACATAAATATGTACAGTGGATTTAAGGCTGCTTCATAACACATAGAGCGAAAATATAAAGAACAGTTCTAACTAATTCACAATTTGTTTCAAGAGAAATATTCTACATTACAAAACCGTCTCTACCAAAATGAAACTTGTTCGTCTCAAAATCCTGATATTGTTCAGTTTCAATAATTCCACAGAATTCTTAAATCAACAGCTCAGTTTGTGGTGACAATAATTTTGAGTCAAAAAGAGGATCAGCAAAAGCCAGGTATAAGTAGACAGGTGCTTAGTAAATAAACTAAGACTTCGAATCAATTGAAACCTTTTGAATTCATGCAACTCATTGATATATTTTCCATACTCACTGACTCACTCACTTCTACTAATCGGTTCTTTAATCTTATCAGCCAATCTCCTCAGATTGTAACAAAGATTATTCTCCGAAAAATCAACATCCGGATATTCACCGAGGAAAGTTTTTGGGTGAAAAGAGAGTCTGTCAATAAACTCTGACTGACATTTCTCTTCATCATCAGTGATTTTCTAAACCGAAGTCACTTCATCACACGAATCGAAAATCTATATTCATCTCATACAGAATACTAGAACACCCGTTCAATAAATCAATTGAAAGGGCAGTCATTTGGAAATTTCCATCGCCTACAGATATATATGCCCATCAAGTATCCTCTTCGTATATCAGTAACTTCTCAAACAAGAAGCGTATGGAGGCGTAATGCTCTGTCTTCAGCCTAAATCCATAGAATGAAGGAGTCAGTCCTCGGTGTTTAAGGCTCAAAATAAGAATCCATGTAAGTTTCATGGTTCCACCGGTATTTCCTTCTTGTCGCTAATTGCCTATTTAGCTTCCACTCACTTCGTCGAGATCAGTCATTTCACAGGATTCTGTATGTCATTATACTAACACCATGACACCTTTGACACGAATCGTTTAGCATAACGGATCACAGTGTGAAAATGAAATGAGAATACATAAATATATCATATCGGAAACTACATGAGACATGGATTTTAAGCATCCCGAAACAACGGTATTTGGATAAAAAGCTAATTCAGAAATTGACTCCCACATTCTCGTGTTCAGAATGAATGTGTCCTGAGACTTCAATCACCTTGTTGACTATCGCTTTAGTAACTCTTTGTTGTGCAACACCCGATCCCCCTCATACAGCAGTCCATAGTTCTTCTGAATTTCATAGGAGACCCAGCTTTTAATCCGCCGAAGTCTACTCACTCCATTACATCACCACCATCTTTTCATCCCACCTAGTATTCGCCAAATTCTCACTTTTCAGTCTTATGAGTTCTAGTGTTTGACTACGCAATCACGGACTCGTCACCACCCTAACAGCAAAAGTCCTTCATTTTTACGAGAAGCTTCGATCTAATGGAATATATATATATATATATATATGTGTATATATATATATATATATGTATATCAATGATGTGAGATTATTTTATCACCTTTGTTTTTCACGTCACTACGACTCCTTTACAGCAACCCTCACTGGAGGACTGATTCATGATGACAAATGAAGTGTATCTTATCTGCACATTGATTTTGATTCTTCAGGATCGGTCCATTATTAATATAAGTATAAAACTTGGGCACTGTGGTAGAGTATAATTCCATTATAGATAAGATTTTATTTTGATAAGTCGCACAGTGTTTACAGTTATATGAACTGATGACGTTTCGAGCACAAAATATTGCTCATAATCATATCAAGTTGATATGATTATGAGCAATACTTTGTGCTCGAAACCTCATCAGTTCATATAACTGTAAACACTGTGCGACTTATCAAAATAAAATCTTATCTATAACGGTCCATTATTAACCTCGAAACTAATAGATATATTACCTTATCCTAGCTCCTCTTCCTGCATATGCCATTTTAACTGTTCCTGTGGTTCAATTTTTAAAGGGCTTACGACTACTGAAGTTCTCCTTCGGATTCGAGAACAATTACCAGCTGGGTTAAAAAAGGGTTAAATGAAATGCATAAGAAGTTCTATTCTGTCATACTTGGTAGATAGAGGACATTGCACTGACGCTAACATAGTCTTTAGGGTTATTATCATGTAAAATTTGCCTACGTCTTGCTTAGTTCCAATATTCTTTCAATACAACAGGATTTTCCATTTATGTTGATTACTTCGCTGTGACACATTTACTGCAGTCTTACTATCGTATTTGATGTTTACTATTCTATACTAGCCACTTACCAAGTACGTTTTACAACCCTGGAATGACTAATCAGTTTTCCTTGTCCAAATTGTAGAAATCTATTGTGACTAATCACCATCATGTCTCGCACCTCACAATATCTTATAATTGCATTCATACCAGCACATTTGTCAGATAAATACTATGTATTTTGTCACCTAACCATTAATCTGTCATTCTACGTAAAAGTCTATTCTACGCATGACTGGCTTTTATTGTAATGATAAATATCGTAGACATGTGTAAAAATTATATTTGTCTAATTTCAACGAAAATGAAATAAATTATTCCAGCGTTTCGTTCAGCTAACTGGTCCAAACTTCTTCAGGGAAATTGATCGAAATTCAAATATGTGTGAAAGAACAGGTCTTGTTTCTAAAATCCATCATCAGTCATGAATAGACATCAAAACAAAAAGAAAATTGCATGGACCGTAGTTGAAATTTGGCCACTGACTGACTTGTTTATTAGCCTATTTTATTATATTGTTGTGTTGCTCTATTTGACCAAACCATCATACACGAATATCCTAGTATTCTTCACGTTTATTATTGCATCCTAACGTTGTGATTACTCAACATCCACAACGTAAATCAAAAGGCACTTGAGAAGGTGTACGAATGTGCATTCTCACAGTAGTGAAAATTTAAAAGCGAGTACAATGTATCCATTGTTATCCTGCAATCTTTAGAGTGATAAACAAATCAAATTCCAATTACCTAGTGAAAGTAAAATACGATGATGAGTACTAAAATGGGTAGCTACTATACACTGCGAATGGTGTGCTTTCACATCAGAATTCAGTGATCAAGTTTGACTAAAGTTCATGGTCATGGATAACTGAATATGGAAAAATATATGCGTATGCCGTATACAATAATGTGTATGCATGGAAGAAAAATTGTACCTCAAGATACTTCTACGGACTTCCGTAGACTTGAAGAAGCTAGAAAAAAATCAGAGGTTTCACTCCATTCGATAGAAATGGAACACAAAATTGACTTTGATAGGCACAAGGTTCTATAGAGAAAATTAGGTTCATATAAAGAAAGACTGATTGCTGAAGCCCTACATATAGTTTGAATCCCAAAAGTTTGAATAGGCGTGACTGTGTGGTGTTAGCTGAATTGTGGCAATCCTGATTATTGAATAAAATAGATACGTACCGCTTATTTCTCACACTAAATCTGTTTTTCCCGATTATATATTTCTTCTTATGAAAAGTCTTAAAATGATATACAGTTGTTCTTCCATACATACACACATTGTTGTATATCGCATACGCATATATTTTTTCGTATTCACTTATCCATGACCATGAACTTTAGTCAAACTTGATCACTGAATTCTGATGTGAAAGTACACACTTTGCAGTGTATAACAAAATAGGCTAATAAACAAGTCAGTCAGTGGCCAAATTTCAACAACGGTTCATGCAATTTTCTTTTTGTTTTGATGTCTATTCATGACCACTGTGCGTTGGTGGTACAGTGGTTAGGACTCTCGCCGACCATGCATATGATCCGAGGTTCGATCCCCTGCCGACGCACACCTGATATCAATGGTCGGCCTGCAAACTTTGGGTTACCGATATCCATGCTGAAAATTCCATACTTGTACCAAAAGTACAGTGTGAAATCAAGCTGTAATCAATAAAAGAAAAAAAAGACAAGACATGTTCTTTCATATATATTTGAATTTCGATTAATTTCTCTGAAGAAGTTTGGACCAGTTAGTTGAACGAAACGTTGGAATAATTTATTTCATTTTCGTTGAGAGTTTACAAATATTATTTTTACACACATGTCTACTTCTCACTCGGCGCCAAATCACTGTGGAACTATTCGGTCGAATTTTAATCACAGTTTATAGAAAAGATAAATATAAGTTTTATAACGGTAATGACTTCAAGAGAATTTATTAAAAAGAGTATTCTTCATTTAAACCGACTTTAATTCACACTGTTAAATCCTATCCATAAAATGTTTTGGGACCTATCCTCACAGTTTTTTGAAGCTCTAGTGTTGAAATCACTTTTACAACTTGTTATCACACTAGAGATTGAAGGTTATTTAAAACACTAGATTAAATATGCTTACTTCAGCATATTCGATATTATTTCTATTTCTTTTGAATGTCTTAGCGACAGTAAACCTTCCTTGATAAATTTTGCTTTGATAGCACAACTGAGGTACAATTGTCTCATCACTTTTGTTTGCTTATTATTGATCTCCAAACTCAGAGCTGATTGTAGAGATATTTGATATATGTCTGATGTGGTGACCGGCTATTCGGAACAATGTACTGTGCAAATGTCCAATGTTATTTGTCTGTACTTACTGCAAATATGCAATGCAAATAATCCTACTGATTACGTACTTCTGACTTTCGTCCTCCACATTTCGTTGTCTGGTGTACTAGTATTCTGTCATTGTTGATTACAATTACAAATAAATATGACGATATTGTTCATATTAAAATCATTAGTGCTTATAAATATACTCGTATGTGTGATAATACTATATCGGAGAGAATAAAAACGTACGCACTTTCCTACCTTTCGTCACATTATGTGAATGTTTTATATGCCTAAATAGTGAAATGCTATTGTAATGTTTCCAGTTAGTACCACCCTCAGCTGTATTTTTCCTAACCACTGTCAGGAGGACAGTAGACGAGGCATAAACAAAAGTTCATTTGCTAGCAAATATTCACACTATATTAATTAAATTTATCAAAAGCCAATAGATCACTAAATTAAAGACATAACCTAGGTTGCACAACCAAAATAAGAACGGAGATACAGAAAATATACAGAAGAGCATAATCGTTAAAAACTGAATTAAAAGCATTGCAAAAATGACAATAGACTGGATAATTGTCTTTTATGTGTTTTATATATGTCTTCCTGAAGATAATCCATACAGAAATTATACCAAACACAATAGATGTATTCATCCAAATAATTGTAGAACTTGGCACTTCGGGAACCATCGTTACTGCCGACTCCGTTCTTCAACCTAACTCCTAGCAGCATAGATTTACTAGGTCATCATGGAACTCACCAAATCCATAAACTCGGTCATAATTAGGTATGGATGAAATTTCGGAAAATTCCCTAAATCTGATTGGATATTGTAGGTCAAGTTTTGACAGACATGACAATGGCTATGATAGTTTAGCTTCACCTTGAATATAAAAATGAGGTGACTTTTGTCCAAAACAAAGATCTAACTACAAAAGGCAAAGCTTCATACCCAAATAACGTAGTAGAAACTACAGATCTCTACCGTCATTTTTTTATCATGAAGCAGACAGACATATTGTATTGGACCAATAATAAGAAAGATGTCTATCCACCAATACCATAGCTATCATCATTTGATTGGTAGTTGGTAGATGCAGTATTTCTAATGCGGACCTCATTCTTTTCATTGCATTTCCAGAGGATGGGAGTGTGCAAGTGGGATGCATAGTCCTGGAATAGTCATGAGGGGACGTGGATTACTATGCCTCACTAATGTTCTCTTAATAATTATTGTTATTCAGAGTAAGTGTTACGATGATTCTTTTGTAATATTATTTTACTAGAATTTCAAATTACTGTTGTGAATAGCCAGTTGTTTTGGTTAAAAATATTAGTTACGTGTTTTAAGCTGTTATAACCAGTTATTTTTCTAAGATTTTGTCGAAGTCTCAATCAGAACTATTACTACTAACAATAATCCCAGCTTCATTCTGGGAATTATATCTAAACACAGGGCAGAGTGTGCGTCAGTGGCACAACAGTAGAATGCTCGCCAACCACCCAGGTGGTTCTGGGTGCGATCTCCTGATGTACTCCTGTACCTCGCTAAGCTGGTAAAAAGACTAATAAAGAGGAAAGGTTAGGCATGAGGCTAGCAATTCCAGTCCATAAAAATAAACACCACTGCTACTGAAACTTCAAAACTCGAGCTTGAAGCCCTACTTTCCGCTGGGAATGTGAACGAATAAAAAATAGGACAGAGCTTCAGCGTAATTTCCCGCAAGATATTTACTGTTATTGAATCTCCAATTAAATACTACTCAACAGCAATGTCACACGGCGCAACGTCGTTCCATCTGAACCTTCTACGACACTTTTCGTTTTCTTCTTGAAGTGCACAGCAGTTGGTTGAAAGGCAGTTAGTTCTCCGTCAGTTTATTTTGCAATTTAAGGATAGTTGGAGGATTAGAAAACACGAAAGCAAGTGCATTGTGCTGGATAGAAATTAAGTGACGGAAACAGTAAGGAATAGATACCACAGCCAAATGACCCTGAATTAGCCAGCGATGTTTCTAGTTAAAAAGTTGCATTTATAGTAAGTGTTTACTGAGTACATATATATATATATATATATATATATATATATGTATATAAATTACATGAGGTATATTTCTTTAATATGCTGCGAAGACTGGTCCCAGTTTCTCATAAGAGTGGCTAAGGATATATGCCATTCCAATCCGTTCCTTAAAAATGCCTAAAATACCTTAACAGAATTTGTATGAATATAGGGTGAGTCATTGACTCTGTGGTGAATATAGCCTAACGATGGCAGTCAAATCGCTCAGAACTTCAAACGAATGCTGATCATAATCTTCTTTGGAAGTTTCATCCCAACTCTGGTCCTAACCATAATCTTCACTGCAAATCCCAACCTAACCCTCAGTTCAGGGTGAAAATTACAATTAGGATTAGGAAAAGCATTCTTCTGTAGTGTTGAGCTGTCTGGTTCGCTGACTCAACGTCGTTTACTTTTCGCTCATGCCTCAATATTGTTGATGATTTCATCATTTCTAGCACCAGCAGCGATTTCAACGTTATAGGCAGTAGATGGAACGGACTGCATGTCTTAGATTTGATCACATGCCCATCTAAATGTTATTATGATATAAACTATTGAAATAATATTTATGGGCAAAAGCTCAAATCCCAATAAAACTTTTCATTTCGGGTCGATATTTCTATGGCTTAATTCTAAAATCCTTAATAACACCATCCACATTAGCATCACTGATTCAAGAATGCTATAAAATTACGGATACTGTGTGTGAGAAAGTTTTCAACAACAGCTAAAAAATTTTGCTTCTTGATGGATCAAAGATTTTCTAATATAAACTTATTAATAAGTACTTCAAGGACAACAGTGATCAGTTCTTACGACATAGAAAGAGTACATGCCTATCTGATTTACCGTATTTACTGTATAATTTAATCATTGTAGTTAAATATCAAAATACTACCATTCAGATACAAATGAAATTGCATTATGATAGACTATAGGAGACATAAATATTGTTTTCCCAAACAGGCATGACGTAACAACTTAGACAAAAGCCCAATTATTTAACAAAATAGAGTGAACAAGTGTTCTTTTAATAAATTCCTCAAACTGTACAATCATAAATATGGTAAAATTTCACCACTGTTGTTATTTGTCATCCTTGAACTTACGTCTAGCGTATCCCATTTTTGCGGTTGTTTCTTTGTTTTATTCGTACTGTTACAAAACTGACTGCACCCCCCTTGAAACCCATAGATTTTATTGAATACATACATACATAAGCATATCACTGGATTATTTAACTTCATTTTGTTTCATGTTCTTGTTGACTATACATTTTCTGTGGGTTTTAAATGATAACCAAAACTCGCTATTATTCCATGTCGTACTTATATCAAAATCAATTTTTGATTTATTTTTAATTTGAGTTTACGAGCTATTATATGTTATCAGTGGATTTATAAATGGAGAGCCTAGAGAAAAAATGTATTGAAAACCATTGTCCTTTCTAATCATTTTTTGTCCTGAATAGAATTATGGGGATATTCAAATTATTATTTAACGAAAGTATGAAGAGAATAGATAAATGGATCTTCACTGTTGACAGGAATAACAGTCACACTGTAAGGGAGACTAATGAATAATGAGTCTCAAGGTACAAACTCAAATTAAGCAGTAAATAATCTTAAATGGTATTGGTAGAATGGTTACCACTAAAACATAGTTAATACTCAGAAATGTTTCGCGTATGTTCTGTGTACCCTAACCCTAACCCTAACCTTTTGGTTTTGAAACGAAAACAAAACTGTAATAAAGTTGACTAAAAGTCAGTATAGTAAAAAGGTTTCAAAATATTGTGACAATCGTATTCCAACTAAGTTTTAGGGAAACACATAACACTTTACATTCCGTCAACCCACAAACATTCAGTCCACGAAATTCATGCGTTATTTTATATGTTTTTTTGTTTAGTCACTCTTGCTTGTTTCAACCGGTTAAGTAGTACGTGTCGTATGACACTCGGAATTTGTGTTCTAACCACGTCAGTTTGTTAGGTGTTATGATTTCCGTTTTCACAGAAGCTATTCTTAGCAGTTTTACTCTTGGGAGCGATGCAGAAAGACAGGATCTATGAAAGTGAACCAAATACATCGTGTTACTCTGTCAAAATAGTTTTAATGATGTGTATTCTCAGAGGTTGGATGTCATTTAATTCGAAGTAAATCGGATCTGTTGAACAAAATCTCTCCCATCTAATAGATAAATGATGTTTATTGAAGTGAAAAAAACTACTGTACATATGTGGTAGAGTCAAATGTCAGTGACGTCTGCACAAACTAAGACCAACTGTATTAAGGATTATCAGTTCTTGTGTGTTTATTCTACTAGATATCTGAAATTCTCAACAATAAATGAATCGTCCTAACATAATACATTAGTAATATACAAAAACGTTATTGACACATTTTATAATCATAGGTTTTTCTGTATAACTTCTCGCAATCGTTAGAAAAGTACAGTTATTTCTCTTTTAATAATTTATTAAAGGATCATTAAGCATACGATTCAGTTTCTCGATACGATTAAATTCAGTTAAGCTAAATGTTTATCGTTATTTGGTACTGACGTGTAATTTAGAACTAAATACATTTTTCACAAATGTCAGTTTTCAAGAACACCCAAACTTACTGACAGTCGTTTCGAACTTCAATACTCGGTTCACTAGGCTAGTGAGTTGCTGTTTCCATTATTCTGTTTAACTGATATCAGTTTATTATTGGAATTTTATGTGATCTCAACCTTACATTTAGTTTCAAACTCTAAATTAGCATTTTGTGTAATGCAAATTCAGAAACGAGGATAGAATATCTTTCAAAACATCGGGAAATAAATGAGCAGTGGGACAGATTGATTTAGGTTTACAGGATGAAGGGAGACAACAGTTACCATTCTATCTGCGGTTGTTAATTTCACTTCTAAAAGTTGATAACAAAGTGGACTTAATATACGTACAAAGACTAAAGCGTTTAAACAGTATTCTTTGCTCTTCAGTGATAAGAACTATTTAATCAAATGGTACGAAATGCAATTTACACTTATCTGTTGTTACTTGATGAAATATACACCGTTCATAACCGGTTTATTTAATCTTCATTCCCATAATTTATTCAGAACAAAATATTTATTTAGAGCGAACAATTGTTTTGAATAAATTCTTCTTCAGGCTGCACAATTATAAATCTGTTAATTTAAGCATACAATAGCCAGTAAAGGCGAATTAGAATCATATCAGAAAGTGTATTGTGGAACAAGTATAAGATCGGATGGAACAATAGTCAGTTTATTGATGTGCATGGTCAATGAGAACATGGGGCAAAATGGGATGAAGTAATTTAATTTAATGGATGTGTGTATATATATAAATATAGTCAACAGAAATTCAGGTTTCAATGGTGAGTGTAATCAGGATGTGTGAGACAATATGAAAATAAACCAACGAATGGGGCGGTCTAGACATAAGTTCAAGGTTGAAAATAACAATAAGAATGATTGTAAAATAATAACGATGATATGGTGTTGTAAAATTAAAAGCACTATTGGTGAGTGATTGTCAAATAATAATAATGATGAATATAATGAAGTGGAATGAACAGGATTTTGTAAATACGATAGCAAGTTAGAAAAGCACTACTTAAACCCAAGGTAATAATAAAAAAAACTATATGACGATCTTATACTTGTTCCACAATACACTTTCTGATATGATTCTAATTCACCTTTATTTGCTATTGTATGCTTAAATTAACGGATTTATGATTGTACAGCCTAAAGAATTTATTGAAAACAATTTTTCGCTCTAAATATTTTGTTCTAATCTTCACAAAATTTTGATTCATATTTATTCATAATTTTTGATAATTCTTTTTCAGAATCGCAATGCAAATCCCCTGATAGTTGTCTAAGTAATCCATGTCATTCGAACGAATATTGTATTTCTAATGAAGATGAAGGATTTCAGTGTAAATGTAAACAAGGCTGGACAGGAGATGATTGCACAGTGGATGTAGACGAATGTCAATTTGATTCAATAAATCCTTGTGAGCATGATGGTGTTTGCATTAATTCAGTAAGTTGATTGATTCATGTGCTCACAGTGAAGTCTTAACTAACTCGTTTGTCGCTCTCCGAGATTTTTTAATGCTCTTTTTGTTATTAGGCTTGATGTTGTCATTAGCATCTTATAGAGATTTCTTCACCTTCCTTGTTAACTAAACAACAAACCATTCACAACAGTGAATTCATATTTTTAATTGGTTATTAATATTATTGAACTAATATTATGCAATACGTCTGGTTATATATTTGTTGTGACACGGTTGCTTTGTCGTACTCAGAATTTATCTCATTTCGATAGATCTTCAATGATTACGATATAAGTTCTGTAACACGAACATTTTCATTTATTAGTATTTACATTCAAACTTGAGTTTCAGCCACTAAGCAGATGTTTTCAAACGAAATGATACATACAAAACTATGAGTTCACAGCGTCCCTTTTATGAGCGAGCGTAAAGATTCATTATTTGTCACACACCCAAACCAGACGGGTGTTCAGTGTACATTTGTTAATTTACCTCTCCAGAGTTTTCGGAATAAATTTGAAAATTCACTTACTTTGTAAACCACTAATCTGTACTAATCGTATCATTTCAGTTTGTAAATGCATGTTTTAAAACGTCGACTAGAATTGATGATATAAGTGAGATTTGTAAAAATGTTTTTTCCACAGACGTAATATAGGGAACCACCTAGGAAAAGTGCGTTGCCTTTGTCACTATATATATATATATATATATGCCTTAGCATACTGGACGCAGTTGAAATGGGATAAAAAATGGAGTGAAATGATGGTAGTGCTTTCAATTTCACCTGTCACTTGGATGCAATAAGTGTGATGTTTTAAAGTCAACATCTAACATCATTTTGAAGCGAAGAGAATTGGTGAATTTTCTGTTTTGACGTTTCAGCTCAGACAATATTGTATCGGTTACTTTTGAATCATTAATTCATGGATTTAATCCACTCATGAGGAAGTTCACCAATGATAAAATTTTTATGACTATAATTTGAATATCTCAATTGGATTTTTGGTTCTGTGGCAGCCGCAAGCTCCTTTTAGTGTATAATTAAACGCCGCTGACAAGTATGAATAGCAGTGCAAAGATTTGCACCAAAACGTTTTAGTAATCGTTTTCATCCACCTAACATTACGTTTAAACAAGTAATTCGTCTTGGGGGGCTCTCAACACACTTTCAAATAGACTTCGAAACTATACATTATAAGTTTTCCATACATACATATATATATATATATATACATATATATATATATACATATATATATATATATATATATATTACATGTAAACAACAGGTTGTGTGAATACTGTACGAAATGTGCCAAATTTATTCATGAATACACTAAGGTGACGTTCTGGAAGTTAGATTTATTTATACTGTCTGAAATCACATAAATTCGCGATTAATAACCTCCAGATGGTTTGTGTATGTGTATCATCAAAACCAGGGACTGCTTTTTTGCTAGTGCCACAGCTTGCAAATGCTCATCAAATGAGCACATTTGTGAGACATCTGAAACTTACAGGAGCCAAGTTCTACGGATGTAAGGCCGAAATGCGATCAGCGAAATGTGATTTACTTATCCTTTGACAACCATCCTAAAATCTCGTTGATATCAAGTAAAATTCAGACAATAATAAAACTGGCTACCAAAATATTATAAAATCTGTTTCCATCATCAATGAACACCGTCAGAAAAGCACCTATTAGCTCCAAAGTTTATTACCAGTTTTCAGGTATTGGTTTTTGTAAGAATTACTGGTTTGTTGATAGAAGATTTCACCATCAGCTGACATCAGTTAAAGAACAATTGGAAAACCTGGGAGTACTGGACAGCTGTTTCGCCATAGTTTGGGACTCTTCAACAGTACGCATCCAACAGTTTAGCTAAGTAGGTATCCAGAATTAGAGTTATTTGGGGTGGTTAGAATCTCGCTTTAAGTTCATTGCCTGAATCTTTAATCCTAGACGTATGAGAAAGCCTTCCAACGTGTATATCATCTTGGAGTAGCTGTCTAGTGGTCGCCACAAGAGGTCTTCAATTTCTCATATGAATTAGTAGTACTTATAATTTTGAATAAAATGCCAGTATACTTTGAAATATTTCATTACAGCCTGGTAGTTATCAATGCAGATGTCCATCCGGGTACTACGGATCAAAGTGTGAAAATGAAGTTCTGGAATGCTCAATAAATCCCTGCAAAAACGGTGGAACGTGCATAGATTTGATTGATGGTTTCCAGTGTATTTGCCCACTTGGTAAGTGTTACCTGCAAAATATAGAAATGAATTTTGATCTCTTAGTTGGTAATTTAACTTTGAAAAGATAGAACAAACAGTGGTGTAGAATAACATAGATCCATTATATTTCGTCACTTCTCGTCATCCACGTATTACCCATTATATTTATTCTTGAAACCAGTCAAAATGCAAATATAAGATTCACTTGGTTTGTCATCATGAATCACTGCTCCAGTAAGAGTTGTTATTAGGTAGTGTTAGCGAGGTGAAACACAAAGGTGATAAAATAATCTCACATCATTGATATACATATATATATATATATATTCCATTAGATCGAAGCTTCTCGTAAAAATGAAGGACTTTTGCTGTTAGGGTGGTGACGAGTCCGTGATTGCGTAGTCAAACACTAGAACTCATAAGACTGAAAAATGAGAATTTGGAGAATACTAGGTGGGATGAAAAGATGGTGGTGATGTAATGGAGTGAGTAGACTTCGGCGGATTAAAAGCTGGGTCTCCTATGAAATTCAGAAGAACTATGGACTGCTGTATGAGGGGGATCGGGTGTTGCACAACAAAGAGTTACTAAAGCGATAGTCAACAAGGTGATTGAAGTCTCAGGACACATTCATTCTGAACACGAGAATGTGGGAGTCAATTTCTGAATTAGCTTTTTATCCAAATACCGTTGTTTCGGGATGCTTAAAATCCATGTCTCATGTAGTTTCCGATATGATATATTTATGTATTCTCATTTCATTTTCACACTGTGATCCGTTATGCTAAACGATTCATGTCAAGGGTGTCATGGTGTTAGTATAATGACATACAGAATCCTGTGAAATGACTGATCTCGACGAAGTGAGTGGAAGCTAAATAGGCAATTAGCGACAAGAAGGAAATACCGGTGGAACCATGAAACTTACATGGATTCTTATTTTGAGCCTTAAACACTGAGGACTGACTCCTTCATTCTATGGATTTAGGCTGAAGACAGAGCATTACGCCTCCATACGCTTCTTGTTTGAGAAGTTACTGATATACGAAGAGGATACTTGATGGGCATATATATCTGTAGGCGATGGAAATTTCCAAATGACTGCCCTTTCAATTGATTTATTGAACGGGTGTTCTAGTATTCTGTATGAGATGAATATAGATTTTCGGTTCGTGTGATGAAGTGACTTCGGTTTAGAAAATCACTGATGATGAAGAGAAATGTCAGTCAGAGTTTATTGACAGACTCTCTTTTCACCCAAAAACTTTCCTCGGTGAATATCCGGATGTTGATTTTTCGGAGAATAATCTTTGTTACAATCTGAGGAGATTGGCTGATAAGATTAAAGAACCGATTAGTAGAAGTGAGTGAGTCAGTGAGTATGGAAAATATATCAATGAGTTGCATGAATTCAAAAGGTTTCAATTGATTCGAAGTCTTAGTTTATTTACTAAGCACCTGTCTACTTATACCTGGCTTTTGCTGATCCTCTTTTTGACTCAAAATTATTGTCACCACAAACTGAGCTGTTGATTTAAGAATTCTGTGGAATTATTGAAACTGAACAATATCAGGATTTTGAGACGAACAAGTTTCATTTTGGTAGAGACGGTTTTGTAATGTAGAATATTTCTCTTGAAACAAATTGTGAATTAGTTAGAACTGTTCTTTATATTTTCGCTCTATGTGTTATGAAGCAGCCTTAAATCCACTGTACATATTTATGTGATAAATCTAACAGGAATTGGAATTCCTAATTGCTCTGAATGTATTTACTCGGATAGTAGTCATGTCTACTCACCGTATCTCTTGTACTCAGTTGGTCACCGAATGAAAGATAATATATTACTTTACTTTTCTGTTGTGTGGATTTCGAGATAGATGCGTTGAAGTATCTGTCATTCAACGACCGGATGGAAAGGATATGCATCAAGTCGAGGTTGACGTTTGTAACTGCGTTACGCTGTTATTTATCCTGATTCATGCATGAAGATGCATCTTCAACACTGAAGACTATCTGTGTGGTGGATGAGTGTTGTGATTGTTCATCTCACGTATTTTATTGGCAAGTGTATGAAACAAAAGTGTGAATGGGAGATTCCTTTTCGAGGATGGAATGCAATGCTGGTAGATACGCATATCCTCTTCATTATCTATCTTATTTGGCTAACACCCATTCGATTGATTAATTAATAATAATCATGACTTTAGGCGTCAGTGTTAACCTGTATATTTGCAGTGTATTGGAAATGATTGGAGTAATTAAATAGTTTGAGAAACATTCGTGCATAATTTAGGGAAAAAATAGTTATTGGGCTGACCGATGGTTTGTGTTTGTATATGTTTAGTGTGATTCATCTCATAGATTTATTTCACCTGACATACTTCATCTATCTGTTCGGTAAAATAAGACAAATATTTACATTTCGAATATCCGTCTTGTTAAGACGATAGAAATGAATGTATCAGTGTGTGTGTGTTGGGAAATGGTTAACTTTTATGAATACGTCACGGTTAACTTTGATGAGTGTTTCTAATGTAGGCGTATGGTGTGATCCAGGTCATGTGATGCATTTTAATTTCAAATCATCAACCTATGTTGTACGACTGGAAACAGTGACTGTCTTAGCTTATCGTTATAAGGAATTGTGTGCAAGTGTTTAAGACAAGTTTCATGTAAATGTCGATGGGAGCAGTTGTTGAGACGACGAGGCAGTATTAATAATTAGAACATCTTATACTTGATAAATAACTGGTTAACGATTACGTGCGAAGAAGTCCAAGGAGAGCCTATGAGTGATATTAAATTATTTTCACTGTGATATAACGAATTCGAATTATCTCAGAGATGGAAATGAAGGTGTGAAAGAAGTACTGACTAAAAATTCAAATTTCAATCCAGATACTTTCATTTACTGAGGGGAAATTATCGATTTTCCTCGATGTCACATTGCTAGCTAACTAGCTACTAGCTACCACTACCTACGAAGATCAATGAAAGCCACCCAATTGTGAAAGGCTAGGCACCATTTAGGTGTCGTTAATGCAATGAAAATGCTTTCGTCTTGTGTTGTTTTATACTGCATCACTTATTTTCGACTGACAGTGACCAATGGTTTTCTTCTCCTTACCGCGACAGGGCTTAGAAAGCAGCGAAACCAATGAAGTCTTCATAGAATGAATCAGTGTCAAAAAGGAGATAAGTTGTTAAAAAAAGTGTACCATATAGGTGGAACATATTATTCAGCACTTATTCCTTTCAACTTTTCGTAGAATATTTCAATACAGTTCAGCTCAAAACATATACATTTGCAACCAAAATGTAGGGAGTGCTATAGTTACAGCATGCCAATAAGTCATCTTACCAATTCACATATTTCGACACTCTCAACAAAGCACTATGCAATTTAATTAGGAATAACTTCTACTCATACATTTGGTGTTTGAAATTGTAACGATAGAAAACCCTCATTTTGCGACAATAGGCTGACATGACGACATGATCTCCTTAGGCTGTCCTTATTTGTGTTAGTACATATTAACCCAACAAATGAATGTCAAATTTTATAGACTTTAAGTTGTCAAATACTAAGTAATTAATTTGTTTATTAGTATAGAGTAAATGGAATATCTCGGGGAAATAATTTGTTTTACTTTTATTATATTTCCTCACATTTTGTGTATTATTTTCTTAGGTTATGAAGGAGCATCATGTGAAAACGAAGTGAATGAGTGTTCCTCTTCACCGTGTAAAAATGGAGCTCAGTGTGAAGATTTAATCAATAGTTACACATGTCACTGTTTACCTGGATGGACCGGTCCACAGTGTGAAACTCGAGTACGACCGTGTGCCAATTCACCATGTCTTAATAATGCTACCTGCCTAGATTTGGGTACAACGAATCAAAGTGAATCTAGTGATCTCTTTATATGTCGGTGTAAAGAAGGTAACTTCGTGCATTTGAGCAGCATTGTTCACGAATGTTTTGATTGTTAAACATGTTTAATTCACCAAAATTTACATTTTTATGAATTTCAGCGAGAAAAGCACATCTCATGACCAAATATCGAAATTCAAGCTTCATCAAACTGTTATCAAATATATTATTTGTACATATACTCTTTTCAGATTGATTTTTGGTACATAGCCGTTATTGTTGAAAAAGAGGAGTGAGTAAAGGGATCTACAGTGTCTTGTCAGCATCACATGGCTTCATACTATGAATTTTATAGACTAAATATGGTCTAATATTAAGGATAAACAGAGACCGTCAGGCCTGAAAATTCAAATGACGATGCAGACATATTCATCAGTGAAATGAAACGATGAGGAATTCTATAACTGTTAGTGTAATTAATCTTCAAACACTAGTTAGAGAATCACTAGAAATTAAGAAATGCTAACACCTTTTACACCTTGTTAGTTTTTACTCATCATCCATAGTGAGGAAACAATTCACAATGAAATCATTGACATCCTTACTTCAGTAGTAATGTTGAAGATGTGAAGACAAAGTTAATTAATAAATAAAGTCAACATAAACAATTAGTGGATGGTGACTAGCAGTGGAATCCAGGACGTGCATTTCGTCCTATTTGGAACTCGTCAGCTGGATGTAACTGCATTTCTCAGTGAGTGATGATGTTCCCACCGAGGCTCGAACCCAGTGCCAATAGTGTCAAACGCCAAAGCGTTATCTACTAGACCATTTGTGCCACGAGAGCCACCTCTTGTGCAACGGGTCATATTAATTTAATTGAACATCATCACTCACTGTGAAATGCAGGTACATCCAGCTGACGAGTCCTAAATAGGACGAAATGCGCATCCTGGATTCCACTGCTAGTCATCATCCACCAATTTAATTATAATTAAATGCCCAGACATCGTTGAAGCATCTGCACAAGAAGCTGACATGTCAACCTGAGACTGAACATTTTGGTCCAATCGATCGACGGGAAAATCAAAAATTCAAATAAATCAACATAAACAAGTTCAGATGAATTATAGGATATCGTTTATTTCTTATGCGAATAGTAAAGATGACACCTTGAGGGCAATAGTTATTATTATCAGTAGCATTGTATTATTACTATTATTATTATGCATTCAAACTGTTAAATGTCTTTAAAACACCACAAATGATTCTTATTTGGTTATCTGCAAAGGTTATCACGGGAGGTTTTGTGAAATAAAATCTGATGATTGTACACATATTGTCTGTCAAAACGGTGGTCAGTGCATTTCAAAGAATGGAAGAAGTTATTGTGAATGCTTAGAAAACTATCAGGGGTTAAATTGTGAGGAAGTGATCGTTAGAGAAAATAAGTTATCAACTGAAGCTGAATCAGTGAGTCGAAATATATTTTTTCATATTTTATCTTGTTTGCATTGTGGAAGCTGGAATACGTAAATTGGTCAAAGGCATCACGGCATCACCGTGCATGATACTTGAAATAAATTTATCTAATTTATGATGAAAAGCATCTCAGATGTTTTTATTCAGTCTGATGGTAGGATCTTCGACCCTAAACTGTACCCTGGTTGAATTTCTCACCAGGTGTTTGTTGAAAATAAGTGAAATTCACAAATTCCAATGATATCATTAGTTTCATTTCATCACTTTCTACGAATTGCCTGCCTAAATATGTATCTCCTTCCGGTATAGGATGTTTTGTAATAATGAAGAAAAACTGTTAATAGGCATGAAAAATTGAAGATTTCATAACATAAATTACTAAGTTTATTTCCTCACTGTTTTGACAGAAGCCGTGAAACAAGCAAGCTATTCAGCCTCTGAATAGATACTCTCACATCTGGTTATTCATTTCCAGATTACTGAATAATTTGAGTTACATCTCTTTGTGAAACATTTCCACATTGTAGTTTACTAGTGTTTTAAGCACAAGAATGAAAATGAAAAATTTCTAATAATTGAATATTAATTTCGTGTTATCTGCTTCTGGTCTGTCAAAGCTAAAAAGTGGCAAAATGTCAACTTGATGCTTATGGTTTTCAGCTCTTCAGTATTGGAATAACTCACAAAGTCCTGCCGATGCGGATTAAGCTTGTGTCGTGAGTCACAATTTGAGTTGATCCACACTAAAGTTTTGGGATTTTTTTCGGTAAAATAAATTGAAAAAATCTGGTTTTCTATTTTTCAAAGAGAAGTATTCACGTGAAATTACCTATTTAGTTCTTCTAATTTACGCGAACTATTCACCTCAGTTAGATGACATATTCTTAGCGATCACGCAACAAAAGTTTATTCAATTCTGGGAAGGACAAGAGTACCGGCTTAGTTCATGGTTATTCGCGTAATATCCCATTCAGCAAAATTTAATATGAGTTCCATTTCAACTATACACTGATTCGAAGGAAGGTGTGTACTGATGAATCCCAAACTAGGCCGAAATAACTGTCCAGTACTCCCAGGTTTTCCAATGGTTCTCTAACCGATGTCAGCTCATGATGAAATCCTGTAACCAATAATAAATAAGACTTAAAATTTAGCCAAACATTAGTACTCTCCTTCAGTTACATGTTATCACGTACATTGTTTGATATGCTATCATATCATATTAGTTTAACCCTATGCACGATAAACAGAAAACCAGTTGTTTTTATTTGCAACAAAACTAGGTAAAATGTATATCTAAAAATTGTTGTATGACTACTTGCATTAAATATTCTTGGGTAAGTGGATAAAGTTGGCAGTCGGTCAACTCTTTATTTAATCTGTCCACGTTTCTTTGTAAAATGGGATAGTATGGAGAAAATTAATTTTAAATCATCTCGAACATAAACTTAGTTATGTAAGGGAAGATAAATGTTAATTTCTTGGTGTAAATATTAGTTTACTCTTCGTAAAAGAGTACACCACAATATATCATGATAAGTGTTTCGTCATTTCTGGATTTCACTGTTTGCCTACTTTCATGTTATATTAGATTGATAGCTACAGTACGATTATTTAACTCTCTGAAATAAAACAATCAACAGCCAAATGTGCATAACCCTGTTATAAGCAACATTGTCGCCTTATTCGATATCTAATTCCATTTATTTCACTCATGATTAAGTAGTCCTCTTAACTAGCGCTCAACCAGGAACTTTTAAACTGAAATTCTACAGCATAGTAGTAATATTCCGGCTAAATGAGGTAATGTGATGAAATATTCATTGCAACAGATTTTAGCATAATATTCATTGGCTCTGAGAACGTTTGAAGTATTTCTCCTTTATTTTTTAAACTTGTCTACGTTAATAGCATTTAGGGTTTATGTGACAGCCTAATTTCATGTCGTAGGTTAGTTATTAATTTTGTAAGATTCAAAATATTAATAGAATATCACTTTTTGGATTAGACACAAACGAATAATAGCGCTTATTTTGTAAAATATTTCATCTTTATTCTTCATTTCTTTATTACTTTTAGGTGAAATCATTTGATTGTTCCAAAACACCGTGTTTAAATAATGGCACTTGTCATAATAATACTAGTCTTACTATTGGAAGTGATATTAGCAGTGTGATGTGTAGTTGTCAACCGGGATTTTCTGGCCCTTATTGTGAAAACACAGTGGACTATTGTACACAAATGCATTGTCTCAATGGAGGAAAATGTTTGTTGCAAGATGATGCTGACCATTCTGAAGGAACAGAGACCAAATATACCTGTAAATGTCAACCTGGATTTTCAGGTATGTATCACTCACTACTTTAAATGCATATTTCTTAGTGGACAGTCAGTCTGCAACGTAGACGTAGTCGATTTCAGTGGAATTCTTTTTTGCCTTCTTTTTCTCTGAACATCAGAGATTCATGTCATTTATTAAACATAAGTTTTTATCTAAGTAGCATCTTTTAACAATGTTATTTATAATTCCGTTGACGATAATGAGCCTTGCCAGTAGTAATATCTTCATAAACGTAGTTGATACAATCGCAAATGTCTGCACTGAGGCTCTCCTTTAAATACATATATATATATATATATATATATATATATATATCCCTCGTAAAATTGCGGATGATGTCATTGTAAATAATTTATCTAGTTTTTATTAACAAGCGGATAGTTTATTCTTGCTCGTCAAACAGTCTAATAAAACACTTAAAGTTGTTCGGTTTTATACCTCCTATATGGTAATTCATTGGAAATTTATTCATTATACAATATAAATAAATTCTGTAGCCTTTTTATATATGTTAACATTTAATGTATTTAACACGTTAATGTACTATCTAAACTCTTGACCAGTATACATTTATTCATTTGGTGTTGGAAGACAGTGTGTACAGCTACAAGGATATACACAAGGTAACGTAGGCCCTACCAGATGCAGACACTAATAGTCAGACAGACTTCATCTTAATCTCAGGAAAGTGGAGACGAAGTTTACTGCACACAAAATCGAGAAGAGGAGCACATGTAGGTAGGTCAACATCAAAATATAGTGCAAAGAACCTTCAAGATCAAGTTGAAAGCCGTCAAAGAAGAAGAAAGTTGTAAACGACAATCTATCCTTACCACTCACAAACTGAAAGACAGAGTGACAACAACTGACACCTTCACTCCAGTCATCATGAAAAAGTCACAGACACTAAACAACATTATCAAGGAAGCCTGAGTAGAAGAACACCCGAACCCTGTGAAAGTCACACGGAAGGAAGCTTGTACAGACGTCTCAAGTAGGCAGGCAGGCAGGCAGGCAGGCAAGCAAAATGAAGAGACAAGATAAGGAATGCCTCTCTACGAAAACATGCAAGTTGATAGATGGGAGAAGCATGGGTGAAGCAGAAAATCAAGTAGTCATCAGGAGGTAAACAACGAGGGGAGAAGCTGAGCAGCATAATCTACAATGAGCTGAGTCAATGAATCAGTAAGTGAAGATGGGTGCTAGAAAACACGAAAGATGCCTTACGACACACTTGAAACTGAGTCAGAACACACTGCACGGAAAACACACACCTCACAACACTACACCCAATAACCAGGTAGGTCACCACCACCACCACTCATTATCCGGGAAGAAATGAACGCAGACGAAATCAGTGAAAGATGGTGAAGGGAACCAAGTAACCAAATCAAACAGGCAGAACACAGAAAACACTGGTCTAATCACTTCAAAGAACTGTTCAATTGACCACCACCACCACCACCTATCTACAGCTACTGATCTACTAATCTATCTACAAGTCGTCCAGAAATACCACCACCAGACACACGATACACAATTACTACCAGTGAACGCCAACTCTATTACGAATCGAAATCCGTGAAGGCCATTAGGTGGTGGTTTATAAAAGCTTGGAAAGCAGCAGGAATAAGTGAAATCGCCGTAAGCAATCAGAACAGTTCTACGGATGTCATATTTGACATGTTTACGGAAAGCTAGTGCAGGTGTGATAAGGGGAAAAAGTGTCGGTCGATTGGAAGTAGGGCTACCTCGTCTAACTCCCAAAGAAGGAGGACTCAAGGGTAGGAAAGCTGTGATGGACAAGCGCACTTCTTACCAGAAGCAAGATATCAACTCACATCATCCTGGAAGATATGCTTGATGAAAGACCACTCACAGAACAGCTTGTATTCAGAAAAAACAAGTCATACACACAAAAAAATTGTGACACAACGAATTAATAACCATTGAACAGAACCTGGAATGGATGACAATTCCATATCTCAACTTCATTGTCTTCGGAAATGCTTTCGACAGCGTAGGTCATGAAGTAAGTGGGAGACTGCTGAAACACTACACAGCGCAGCATCACAAACATTTTTAAATCTCAATCATTGGTTATATGATGATGCGACTTACCAGAAAATTCACAACAGTACGTTAACCGACGCGTTTGAATTTAACATGGAAGACGGACAGGCCTACCAATTATCACCTGTGATCTTGATTGTGGTACATTTCATCATGTGGAAGAAAGTGGAAAGTTACAACAGCCGCTATGCAATGGACGCACAAAAGAACCCCAATGTATCTGGATTTCGTGGATAATTCATGCCTTGTGTCTCAAACCATCGAAGATTTACACGCGAAAACCAACAACTTCCCACTCTCAGACGAGGCGGAGATGACAGAACCACAAACAATAAACACCAGTCACCATTATTGTGAGAAATCTGAACGAATTTACCTCTTCAAAATCTACTTGAGCAACATCGTTTCATTTACAGGTGGCACTATAATGGGGATTCCAAAGCCAGTGGGGGATGGGAGAGAAAGACAGACGGTCATTGCTCTGGAATCAATGTGAAATTTTACAGCACTCACTACAAGGACACAAGGTCTGACGTTCCAACATTGAGGCCAAGTCACTGCTTTCATATGCGTGAGAACCTTGGTTTGGGTATCACTGGAAGCAATTCTGACGGACTGAAGATTTCCATCAACTGTTGTCTTCATTAGGTTTTCGAGATCAAAGAGAAGCAAAAAGAAACGCGGACATTTAGGGAACTTGCCAATAGATGTGCGAAACCTCAATAATATATATATATATATTATATCGTTTGATTTTCTCAAGGGAAGTCGGTCTGTTCATGTGCTCGAATCCATGATACCCAGTGTTCAAATGAGAGATGTTCCGACTGAGCTACTCGGGCTCGATTTCTGAGTAAAGAGGAGAATTTTACGTGTAGTGATGATTTCAACTACCTCTTGTAATTGTAACGTTCTTCGAAGATGATAAATTTAGAGCATCCTAAAGGGTTGTACCAGATATCTTAAATGGTAAACAAGAAATATAGATTGACTTATTGACTGTTGAGAAACAACAAGTTGACCATTAATTTGGCGCAAAATTCATCCGTCATATGGATTATTACATTTAATTCTAATATTTTGATCTTTCAATCCGTGAGAATGCTAGCTAGTTTGAGATGCTTGAACAACATAAGGTCGCTACGTTTACTGTTTAGTCATGGTCACTACGCTTTTGGTAAGTTTTAATAACTCCTGACTGCTACAAACTGTCTCATAGACTATAATATAGGACAACCAGTATTTTTAAAGCCTAGGACCTAGCAACACGCAGATCTTGGTAGTAAGCAATAGGTCAGTGCGGTAACCTAGACTGTTGAGGTTCTTTCTTTTTTAAATGAAATATTTATCATCTAATGGTGGATCTTAACGCGACTGTCATTTTATTTAGTTAAAGGTGAAAAGAGGGACGTAGAAAAGCTTATTAGTTGAAGACAGATATAGGTTGAGATAGGGTGGATTATGCTTCATGTTGAAGTGAAAAAGCGTAATTCACATAGTTTGTAGTTAATTGTCAGGCCTATGACTCATTTGCAAACACTTAATGATCTTGACGAAGTTGCATTGTGTATGTCAAATACACTAAAATAAAGACTGGTTGTATGCAAACAGAAATCGTTTTTAGCTAAATTGTGATATCCTATATACCAAGTGAGAGAGACAATGATTCTTTATTTTGATCCAGTATAGCTTGTTTATATAGGGTCAATTGTTATAGTATCACATGATGAGACATTTCTTTGAATCAGTATAATGAAAGCATAAAGCCTTGACTTTGTTTATGAAGACCAAATGTAAAAATAACCGAATATCCAGCCAATAAGATCCATACTGAAATTTACACTTCATTTGTGAATGAATTCAAACGACATACATTGATTTGAATTCACGTATATTCTATGACAAATATAAAGTCTATTAAAGTAAATAAACTAAAAGGACACTTTGAAGTGGATTCATAAATCAAGTATATTTTATTTTAGGCAGATGTCATCACATTGTCATAATTTCAGTGTTGAACTAATACAACCAAAGGCATTAGAGAAAGTGGATTAAGAAAAGGATGATATTATCTGGTACATATACTGATAAAGCGATAAACAGACCACATTCATAAGGTCAGACGTCACAAAAATTTAGAAAGTATACTAAATGTCTCACCTGTGTATTTCATGAGGGTTGTTTTAAAAATCAAATTTTCATTAATATTCCTTTGATAATATTATCAGAAATAATTTACCCATCATTCTGAAATCATTGTGGGAATCTACAGCACATATCGTAATGAACAAAATCCGAATTTTCAACCCTTATGCGAAGTCACTGGTACTTGCACCACTGAAAGCATTTCCGATAGGCTCCAGACTTCCATCAACTGCTGTCTTCATTCGATATCTAAGATGAAATGGCCGACCAGAAAGGATAAGCGACAAGGAGTTTTGGACCAGCCTACATATTGCCTGATAAATATGCGGAATGAAATGAAGGTGGGTCGAGCACATGATAAGGAGACCATTGAATGACGTTATACATCTGGCCGTAGAGTTAAAGCCTAAGGGAAGGTAACGAACTGGGTGTTTGAGGGTGAGATGTGGAAGATCATTTGAAGAGGGGACGAAAATTTTTGGATAGTGGTGGAGCCAGCTGAAGCAGTGAAGTGAATGTATAGGGGATGTTTCAAGGAATTCCTGTGTTCTCCTGAGAACCTGAGGATTGATGAAGTATACATTAATTTCAGTTATAATATTACGTAACGGTGTAACAACACAGGGATGGAAATTTTGTCTCCATAATTATTTGTTAAGCTTGAAAATATATCAGTGGAAACACTGTGCTTCTGTATTTTCTTTTTCTCTTCTCAGTATTGCTATTATATTTAACGTTATTATTACTCTCATCATAGATGTTAATATTACTTGGTATTACTACTGAAGGGTAAAACAATTTCCGACATGTTTGTTTTGTCTGCTTATTAAAAATGTTTTCATCCGAAAGCATTCACACGCTGTAAATCACTTACTATGCATTTTCATCAACAAATAGGGTAATTTTTGGATGGAAAGGGAAATATTATTCACATTAATCGATGATAAGTTACACAGGAAACAACACATTCTGATTTTCATACAAACATACATACATCCATAACTTACATTTTCACGCAAATGATGATACCATATTATTCTGCAAAAACTGTTGTTCTTACTTTATTCAAAATCTGATTTTTGTTTTCGTTTTGCACCTATTTGCAAACATACATTTGATGATAGGGATATGTTACTGTTTTGCATCTTGGCGCCTTTATGCAAGGGAAATCTAGCCTTTTCTGGGATATGAAGAAAACAATCCTCATCCACAAAAATAGAGTAAGATAGTAGGAAAAAGAATGAGAAGTGTAGAGTGATGTACACCATGCAGTATAGGTGAGAAAACCAGAGGAAACTAAAAAAAAATCATAGAAATTATCATATGATAATGAGAAATAATTTAATAAATAAAGTATAGATGGTAATCTAAAGTTAGGAGTGTTAGCGTCATATGTATATATACGGGGAAGATTACTATGGGGAGAGGGACTTCACGAAGTAAACACTAGCAAACTGCATTCAAAAATCATACTTTAAGAAAGGTTTATTACCTTAGTTGTCACACATCACATGTGTTGTTTGTGTCTGTATGCAATTACCCGTTGATACATAATCATGACGTATTTCTATCAGGTGTCTACTGATTTCAATAGTGTACTTCGTTTAAAAGTAGTTAAGCTAAATTAAATTTACGAATTCTTCACACATTATTTCTTGTAAAGGGAATGAAAGCTTTTGGACAGTGGTGTGGTGGTGCCAGCTGTAGGTGAAGTGAGTGTGTAGGAAATGTTTCGCTGAATCCCTATATTCTACTGAATACGTGCACATCAAATATTAATAATAATATTCTGATTGAAGGTTTCTGTGTGACTGCGTAAATTATATATGATAGCATCCTTATTTTGGATGATTTTATTTGCTTTTTGGGAATTAGGTCTTAATTTTTCTCATTTGTTTTGGATATCTTGAAATAATGTTTAAGCTTAGGTGAAGGCATGTTCGTCGGTGGCACAGCGGTTAAGACGCTCGCCGACCAATGCACATGGTCCGGGGTTTGATCCCCGCCAAGCCAGAAATAATGCTGGTAAAGAGGAAAGGTTGGGCATGAGGCTAGCAACCCCATCCTGTAAAATAAACACTGCTACAGAAACGTCAAGCCACTAGCTTGAAGCCCTGTATTCCACTGGGGAACGTGATGGAAAAGAAAAATTAGGTGAAGGAAATGGAATTTCTCATAAATTATGTACTTGGTACTAAAGGATTCTACACTTTTTTTTGGGAAATCTAACCTATGAATGTAAAGGATAGAACACGTGGGATCAAAGTCAATTTTGTATACTTCATTTCACTGTAATGGATTAATTAATTCCAGTGTATTTTCAGCTCTTTTTTTATGTTTGCAACACAGTGTCTGTAGTTGTATGCTTTAAAATAGAATAGTGGAAAACTTGGTAGCATGAATCATTCATTCTTCTTGGTTCTGCTATGCATATAAAATGTGTGGACTGAAACGACTGTATTTGTGCTAAATAAAAGTTGTACGTCATCCTCTGACACAGCTGCTGCACTTTATAGTTCTTATAAATGCAGAATTCAGTCAAATTCAAGTCAAATAAACATACGTCCATTGAAGAGGCAAAAAATGAGGTTAGAAACTAGCAGTATCTTAGTAACTGTTCACTCAATTAACATTGTGTGCTACCTATGCTTGACAGTATAAATCATTTTACTTTGCTATTCAGATATCCTTTGATAAATGTGCCTAAAAGCTAGTTCACTCAAAATCCTCTATGTTTAAAAAGTAACTTAGCTATACCTTATTTTACCGCTTGCCTTTAAATATCATTCTCAACTGAATGACGAATATGACTGACTAAGAGTGAATATGAATTTGTTAACTTCAATTTTAAGTAGTGTTTATTAAATCTTATGTGAATTCTCTAACTGATAATTGAATAACGTGAAACATCAAACGTCTAATCGAAATACAACTACGGCATATTTATAAATCTTAATTTCAGTTTAGCCGGATTCAACTTAGTTATTTTTTACATATTGGTGATCGCTCACAATTTGAATTTTGGATATATGTTGCTCTAGTTATCTTATTTCTGTTCGAATCCTGAATTTTAGTGCTGTACTTCTGAAGCGATGGGGTTTGTACAATTCTAAAAGAATAAAACATTCGCTTCATTGTTAATTCCCATTAAAATCTACGCTTAGACAAATGAAGAAGGCTCCTCCATTCCATTTAAAAAGTCTAAATTTAGATGAACACAATACTATCAGAGCCTAGAAAATAATTAATTTAATTTAAACTTGATCAGATAGTGAAGTGTATTCGTTCTTCTATCTGTTCAAAATAATTGGACAGAATTACACCATTTGTAATTATTAGTGTTCTCTGAGCTGGTTGTTATAGTTGGGGAGCTCAGAGAACACTAATTATTGCAAATCATCCACCTGAGCTACAAATCTTCTCCATTAGAACTGCACTATATTTTTCCACTCAGGATTTCATTGTGTACTGACATTGGTTAGAGGACTATTGGAAAACCGGTAAGTACTAGATAGCTGTTTCGTCCTAGTTCGGGACTCTTCATCAGTTGGAATTCATGAACCATTGGGTCGGATCCCAGTCACTTAAAGGTATATGAGCTCGCCTTGTAATCAGAAGGTCCTGGGTGCGTACTGATGAGGAGTTCCAAATTGGGACGGAGCAGTTGTCCAGTACTTCCAGGTTTTCCAATGGTTCTCTGATCGATGTCAGTTCATGGTGAAATCCTGAATCCAGTGAAACCGCTGCCAACCAACACTTGAATATTTTTGTGTTGTAGTATTTCGCTCAAAATGTAGCTATTTCTGAATAAATACTTAGTAGTAGTTTGGTGGGTTCCCGATAGGTTTTTGTTGTTTTGAAATGCAGTGCAAATTTAGTTTAAATTTCTTGAACATGGAAAGAGTTAGGAGAAAGAAGTGCTGATTATCGAAAACATTTCTTACTCTTAGTCAGTTGAAAAAATCTCCAACAAAAGTAGTGAAGAAAGCGGTACTTCATGAGTTCACAAATTTCGGTTAAATAAGTCAGCTACAAACACCATTATTTATATTTAGCATACAATAAATAGACGGGCATAGTTAAAACCAATGATTATCGGTTTCAACATGTACATGATCGATAAAAAATTACTGATAATTTGCTTTATGTAGTTAAGATGTCATTACATCCGTAAGATAGATTACACAGCAAAAATATAGTGGAATTGCCAAAGTAGAAATAACAGGGAATTATGAACATTTAGACCAAAATTTATGAATTCGTTAAATACTGCCTTTCTTACAATGATAACTTGTTTTAAAATGGCATCACATAACGTTTGCTTAATTGTAGTGAGTATCAGTCTGAACAGTGTCAGTTACCTTATCTACGTTACTGTGCAAAACTAACAGCTCTTTCTTATTACTCTTGCTCTCTGTAAAATGTGCTTTCATCGTCTGTTTTTTATTCACTTTCAGGCAAACAGTGTGAGAACAATATCTATGATTGTTTCGGTCAACCATGTGGAGTTTATGGTGTTTGTAAAGATGAAGTCAATGGATATCAGTGTGAATGTTTAAAAGGATGGGAGGGTATTTTCTGCGAAAGACCAACTGACTCAACTAAATTTAAAGCATACAATCAAAACACTGAATCATATTCAATGATGTCTAATAATTTGAAGCAATATCACCATAGACAAAGTGGATTGTGTCCTGAGAATTATTGTAATAATTCAGCTACTTGTATTCAAATGAAGAATACGTCTTCTGTACTGAATGGTAACAATGCATTACAATTGGGACAGGATTTGGATATTACCGAATATAAATGTCTCTGTGAAACGGCTGTTGGTCGTTTCAAAGGTAATAATTGTTTTTGTTTTTCTTTCAAAACTTATCTTAAATCAGACATCACATTGGTAATAATGCTGTCATGATCCAGATGCCAATATTATTATTTTATTTATCAGTCACATGAACAGGATACTTCCTTATGATAGATGACTGGTATATGGGATGAGTGTTTTTACTGAGAATGTATTGACTAAATATTATCAACCTTATTACTTGATATTTCCTATACTCAGTTTATGTTATAAATATTTTTAATTTATTGTAGACGTGTGTGTTCAAATAAGTGTAGTGGGAAAAGAGACCTCTTTTTATCTGCATTTATTCATTCATTAAGATGTCGTAGTTAATACATTAAAAACGTTTCTTCGTAATAAACTGGAATTAAACATATGATAATCAATCAACGTCAAATAAGTTGTTGTTTCTCAACTCTCATACATTCTTTGCATGAAAATTCATCTTAAAATTTCCCACCATAACACTAAATGAATTTTTCTTCCGTATAAAATCTATAAAAGTAATGACAGTAATGGCTGCTGGTTAATTTTTATTTTATTATAAATTATTCAAAATAAGTAGATAAAAGCTTTTGTTTGAAAGAACACTGAGACAGAGTAAGACAGAGAGTATGAAAAAAATCGAAATAGTGTAATAAGAACATAATGTCATCGAATGAAAACATAATAGAATGAATATTTACAACCTTTGTAATGTCAGTTCATTATTTATCATTCCTGGTGGGTGATCCATAAAGAAATTTACTTCAATTCAAGACTAGTTGATGGTAGGGTTTATAGTATTCGATATTCAAATGGATTATAGATGCTTAACTCACCGTCTAACTAACTGGCGTCGTTTCATGTTAAAAAGCTTTATTATGGGTAGGTAATATGAGCATTCATAAAAAGTATTTAAGATGAAGACTTAAAAAAAACTAGCTAAAGTGAGAAGAAAAATTACCATCCAGGTTCAGAGTCTGTCTTTACCAACAGAACTCTAAATTAATGAATTTCCTCAAATTAAGTTGCTAAGTAGTTGTTATGTAGTCACTTTGCGCGCATGATCTTGAATTTTATTGTTAGATAGACTCACCTAAAGCAGTAGAAACAGTTTAACCACACTCACAGAAATCGGTGCTAGAAAGTACTGTGTATATCTCATCGAACGTGTTACATGAGAATATGTGGACACTGTTTCATCATATTTTTGATGTCCGAAAAGTTTTATAAACTCAAAGTGACTATTGGTGGATGGTGACTAGCAGCGGAATCCAGGATGCGCATATCGTCCTATTTAGGACTCGTCATCCGGATGTACCTGACCATTTCTATGAAAAAGCTCCATTGATACGCTGATTGTATGAATGAAGCTGCAGTTAAATAGAAAAATGGATAGAAAGTATAAGTGACTAATTCTAAAACGAAGCAAGTTGATAAATTATTCAGTGTTACACGATTAACTGTTTGTGATTTAATTGGATAACATATGGGCAGAGTTCAATCCATAACACGACGTCACTGTGAGAAGATTGTGTTCAAAAAGGCTTGTAAGTTGTATTTTGATAAAGTGTAGGATGTATGGGTCAGAAACTTAGCGTCTCACAAAGAGGATTTCCAACAAGTTATGGACTTTTATCAACAGCTGCCTTCTCTGGCTTCATACTGAAGATCAAATGGCCAGCCGGAAGAAATTAGCAACGAGAAGCTTACGGAACGAACCAACCACCAAGAAGCGATTGCTCAATAAATATGTAGGGGAAAGTGGAGATCGAACATACGTTCAGGAGGCCGTCGAGTGACATCGCGCGCCAGGCCCTCGAGGGGAAGTCGAATTGGAAAAGACGAGTGGGTCGTCCGAGGGTGATGTTGGGACGATTGTAAGAGGAGATGAGAGATTATGGGCAACCGTGAACCCAGTTGAAGAGGACAGAATAAAATAGAGGAAAGTGGAGATGTGTTGCTGAAGCTCTATGTTCCACTCGGAACCGAAAGGAGTAATAATAATAATAGGATGTGTGCAGCTGAAAAGAATCCACAAATTAAGAAAACCCACATTATCCTGCAAATGTGTTCGTTCCTTCTTTGTTCATACCAGTTAACGAAACGGACTGTATGAAAAGCTTAAGGTGTTCAGTATGTTGTCAGGTTATTCAAATAGAGTATAATTATATTTGATCTAATCCACAATGCTCAAACCTTTTGCTGATATTTATTCAAATAGATTTTCTGTTGCATCGAACCTTTAAGTGTATATACACTGAGGTCTCGGAGCACTCACCACAATGTTTATCTAGAATTTTTCCACTTTGGGAAGGCTTCAAGCCTTAGTTCCAGTTTCGAAATGCTGTTAACACGCGCTAACGGAAGAAATTAGGCGATAATGAAACAGGCTTTTACTGTTGTAGTTTTAATCAATAAACCTTCTAAACTTTTGTATTCTCCTTATATTATTGAGTGGCAATAATTACACAAACTTGTATGACCACGATTGTCACAGATATCGTTTGCATGCCATCGACGTTATACAACTATTAGGTGATTTTCCCGTCACCAATTTATTTAGAACACACTCCGATATGGTAGGATGTTACATTTACTCAAGTGAGATAAAATACGTCAACTGACACATACTAATAATGACCGAAAATAATAAAGGTTATATTTATAACTTGACATCAATTGTTTGTCTGTCCGTAAAACAATAAGAAACTTTATTGCAGACTAATTTCGACTGGTTCATTTTCAGACTAGGTGCCAACTTCATTGTCGTAATTATCATTTCATGTTTAACAGCTGGATGGAAAAAGCTTTTTTAACTAAAAATTTACTAAGTTTTGTAAACAGCCTTATTTTCCACTATTAGCTACTCATAAGTATTCGTGGGATTTCTCAAATACGATCTTAAATTCAGCCTCTGCCTATAATAACTTATTGATAAATTAACTAATTTAAATGCTCATTAGGTTTAAGAGATGCGCGTTTTGACGTGTGCAATATACAATACAAGAATTTATTCATTATCTTCACACATTTAGTTCCCTTGATTAATTTTGACAAAGAAAGGAAGACGAAATTCCCAGTATAAAATGGTATCATTCTATCTTGCAGGTTCTCATCAGCTGCACACTACCTAAAATTACACTGGTTATATAGATCATAATAACATACTTTAATGTTTAAGTAGTAGTAGAGAAGAAATGCTACAAAATTGACGCATCCAAAAATGTTTCTTCCCTACTATCACTTAAACATTAAAGTATGTTATTATGATCTATATAACCAATGTAATTTTAGGTAGTCTGCAGCTGATGAGAACCTGTGAAATAGAATGATATCATTTTATTCTGCGAATTTCGTCCTCCTTTCTCTATCGATATTCACTATCCATTGTGGTTTGCAGTATTCACCTTTATTCCATTTCAGTGATATTGTATGAGTCAGTGAACAAAGAATTTTGCATCAATTTGTAATATTCGCCTTATTTTGACACTTGAACACACTATGTTTTGTCATTTTTCAACAAATGACTATTACGTTTTTTGATTTTACTGGTGTAAAAATGATCTAGGCAGATAAATAGTCCAAACAGTATCTAAATATTTTCTTGTCACTGGACTGCTTTAATTGGACATTATGTACACAATTAATTAAGGAACATATCAGGTAGTTACTATTGTAATTACGTTACTGAATCGATCAATATATGTTTAACATTTTATTGTTGACGTATCTCATTAGTTCTTTATGATTGTATGCTATTTATATACTTACATTTATAATACACTAGGTACTAATTGTGAAATAGACATAGACGAATGTGTTGAATTCGACCAGAATAACTTGTCATTATGCCAAAATGGAGGAACCTGCATAAACACTTATGGATCTTATGTGTGTAATTGCAGTAAAGGATATTATGGTAGAAATTGTGAATATTTGCTTGATCCATGCATTTATGACAATGTATCAATTTGTTTCAATGGTGGGACGTGTTTAACAACATCTGATGGTGACGGTATATTATGTCTTTGTCCAACTGGATTTACAGGACCTCAGTGCAAAGTACGTTTTCTTTTTAGAAAGAGTTTGTTTAATGCTAAGAGAATGAAAAATCTACAACTGTGGTTTGAAAATTACTGTTAATAATTCTCCATTTTTACTAAAAGAAAGGGGAAAACTCTTTTGTTATTTTAGATAATTAACTGTGATTATAAAATTCCTTTGTAATTCACTGCTATTAACGATGGTGAGGTAACTTAAATGCTACATAATGACTAATATCTAATTTAGTTGATGTACACTATCGTTTTAATACCTGGTTTATGGCATACACTGTTTCAATAAAATTACTCTTCAGGAAGCCGAGTTGAAATAACTTTCTGTCGGAAATTGGTCAGTGGTCCTCTTCAAACGGACTTAAGCTTAATCCGTCTAAATGTCAGGTAGTCAATTTCACTTTCAGACGTAAATGTGACCCACAGCAACTAGTTAGCTCACATGGCCCCACTCTCATTGACGGCACAGAGGTTGAAAATACATCTAATGTCAAGTACCTTGGGCTGAGTCTTTCCACCGATCTTTCTTGGTCTTCCCACATCTTGCTAGTTACTAGAAAGATGTTTCGCTTAACGTTCTACATTAGGAAATTTAGGCAGTCTGGTATAAAGCAATCTTTACTTTCTCAATTTGTAAATTCTTGTATTCTACCCATCCTCCTTTACTGCTCCCCATTAGTCTTTCCTGGACTACTTAAGAAAGACTATGCTTCGCTGAGAAGGGCACTAAAAGCCGTCAGTAGGGCAAGTGGGATATCGTTAAACCAACTGGTGAACACTATTGTAGATAGACATATTATGTCATGTAAGAAACTAGCGAATACAATATTGTCGGACCCCGAGCATCCTCTCTATACGCATCTATCTCCTTGCATTTCATCTGGTAGAACTAGAAGCAGCTATAGGAGGCTATATGCTAGGACTACCAAATACAAAAACTCCACAATACCATATCTGGCACAGTTGTTATGTGATGAGAAATCCGTTAGGTATGACACGATAAAGTTACTGCAGCACTCTAACAAATAGTCTCATTAGGTTTTCCTTTCCTTTCCTTGTTACTACTACACTGTTGTTCTCATCTTCTACCACATATCAACTTTATATTTCAAATCCTGTGGTGCATTGTTTGAAATGAAATACTCTACGCTGTTTTTTTCGTAATTTTTAATATTTATTTATAACTTATTTATTTTATTTTTTATTTATTTATCTCTGATTTTTAAAAATATTATATAGTTTATGAGGTAATTAGATGCAATATACTGTAATGCATGCTGAAAATTCCATACCTGTACCACAAATACTGTTTGGAATAAAGCTGTTATTATTATTATTAAAGTCAAATGACGCTATGAATATAGATTTTTTGAGAACTTTATAAGATGTATAGCTACTGTATAATAGATCACTTTCTCGCTAGCGTAAGTGTCACAATACATCATAAATGTAATGCTATAGTAGATTTTGGAAAACTTTGGTCACTAGAAGGCCTCATACCTAGATTTTGTGATTGTCCACACTCCTTTTCTTTGCCTTCCCTCTTACCGCACTAATTTTAAGTAATTATCGTAGGAAGAGAATTGAAGCTTTTCTATAACACTTGAAATGAAGAGGCATCTGTAAAAGTAAATCCATGGTTGTCCTCAGAGCTAATTGTGTAGTTGATCGAATGATGACAATAAATAGGCTTATCAAGTTACTCATCATCTAACTATTATTCGATGGGCTTAACAAGGTATTTCCACCTTTGTGATGACACACACTTGTTCAGTATGTGTTGAAAATGCCAACATACTGTATCCCCACATTCTTTAAATTTGATTGGCGAATTTAAACGAGGCTTTAAAGATACGTTGCAAAATTAGCTACTCTATGTCAAAATTATTGTCTTCGACGAAATTGCAAAGGCAGTTTAAGGTTTCCTGCAAAGGCTAGAAAAATCAGTCTTATGTGAGACAAGTTGACGTTACCTAAAGTCAAAAGAATCTGATATATGGCGAGTATTTTTGACTGATTTTGAAGGGCATGGCTTAGCTATTTAGAGATGACAAAATATAGCTAATTGTTCACATTCAGAATTCGGTCCAGCGTATCACTTTCCTTATGCACTTTTCTCGAAGCCTTATGAAACCAGGAAATTTGTGGAAACCGATGAAAATAAATCCTAAATTTTTCTGTAGCTGCTGGTTAATTCTTTTTTACGGAAGGTGAGTTTCGTTGTGTTAAATTATTTTGGTTAGGTCTTTCTGACTAGACTGCCTAAAAATTTATTTCCGTCTGATGTTTTCGATAGGAGAGTAATAGGAGCAACTCTTTTTTTTCAAAATATAAACTAATATAAACTTCTTGCACTCTTTTTTTGACACTACCATCCTTTTAGCACTAATCTACTCATGATAATGATTATTAAGGTTCCTCAGAACTTTTATTTGTTATTTAAAGGTGATTGGCTTTTTGACTTTTAATATTTTCAAGCTGGCGTTATGTCAATAAATGGTGCTCGAAATGTTACCCATTTAGCAATACTGTACCACTGTGCGTTAAACAAAAGCAACCCAATATCAGCTATTCCATTTTATTAATTTTGTACTATTATTATTATTATTAGAGTCGTATTAGTATAAAGTAGTGTTTTCATCATCTCACTAGCTGCTAAGATGGCAGAAAGGTTAGTTTCACTATCATTATTTAACAGTCAGAATGTTTAATATGAACAGGAGAAGACTTTGCTAGGCATTTAGTACGGTCATGAACGGACAGCAGTACTATATCATTCATTCATGTAACACGTGGTTGGTTTGAGTAAAGTGGTGACCTGGTTAACATCAGGTGGGGCCTGTAGCTCAGGTAGCAGACAAGGCTTTGTTAGATGGGGTTTCATCATCACCGTTTTCATCTCCTTTTTTTTCTTATCAAAGTATCTGTATTGGTAGATATTGACAAATATTTGTGAAAAGTGAAACTCAAATCACACACTATAAATACCTTGGTAATTAATTCTAATAACGTTTCAGTATTGGATTAAATTTAGTGACTTTATTTATTTAATATTCCTTTTTATAATCCCTTTAATTTATAATTTATATAGGAAGAAATAAATGAATGCATTGATAAACCATGTTTGTCTGGTGGAATATGCTTAGATCTAATTGGTGAATATCATTGTTTATGCCCAACTGGTAGATTTGGAAAAAATTGTGAATTGAGTGGTGAATTGGTGTGCAGCGACCACCAGTCATGTGGTGGTGAGAAAGATGTTAGGAAGAATTGTACAATACAAGTAAGTCATAATATAGAGTGGCGAAGTAAATGATCAAAAAGCAGACAATGTTTCAGCTTAGTTTTTAAATGTTTTAGTGGTTTTGTTAACCTGTGAGCTTTGAACTTTCACAGAAAACTCTGACAAATATTTAGGCCAACTTAGTTCATCATTTCGAGGGAAGCGAATACCGTGTGTAATTCTATAAATAACTAACAATCATCTTTTCCTCGGTTTAACACCTTCACCTTCATCGATTAAGGATCAAAGAAATCGGATGTTAAACTGTTGGTCACTTAACAGGAATGAAATCAGCTGAAAGATTAACGTGTTAGTCAGTCTAGAGGAAATCCTCTATATAACAGGAAATGCTTATCACTGTCACTGCCCCGTGAATCAACACTGAAGATAATGACTTAAAACATTTTGCACAAATTGAAACTAGTGTTCGGATAACAATACTATATACATAAGTTTATTAAATCAACTGACAAATAATCTTGTTCATTGAAATATTTATACAGCAAAAATCTGTGAAACTACAGTGTGAAGAAAACATTTTATTCTGTTGCTTTCCCAATAGTTTTTTTTTGAGTTAAGCTCCAAACTGACACCTTAGAAATATTCTAGTGAAATTATAATTCAGTGTCCCCCGGTAATTTAACGTTTAACAAATAGGTTTACTTTATTTTAATATCATATTTATCTTGGAAGAAGTCGTTTTAACTAAAAGAGTAGCTTGTTCATAATTTCCATGGAAAGCTGATATAATAGTCTTACTTTTCATGTCTTACTGTTTTACCATGTGTCAATCTGTTACTAATATAGTAATTTGGCTACTTTCAAAATAGGATTTGTCAACTAACCGACTTCAGATTAAAAAAATCACTGGAAGCCATAAAAAACATTGGATGACCTTCATCACAGAATAAGACTCTTCAGCAGGGCACACTCATTGCCTCAATGGAGATTGAGGCTAGTAACATTGGTTTTTCAAGGGTGCGCTTTATATTTCAGTCACTGAATTGAAATAACATCACATATTCAACCATTTTATTACCAATGATACCAATGCAAAAACTGGGGCGGAATTATGCTCCTGTCCATCCCAAGCAAAATACTAAGCCGAATCATCCTGGAGGGAATCAAACAAGCCCTAGATGAAAAACTTCGACGGGAACAAGCTGAATTTAGGAGAAACAAGTCATGTATTGATCAAACCACCACTCTACGGATCATCATTGAACAAAGCTTGGAATGGAAGTCACCTCTCTATCTCAACTTCATCGACTTTGAAAAGGCCTTAGACAGCATCGATCGAGAGGTCATTTGGCAACTACTTCGCTACTACGGGGTCCCATCGACAATTATACATCTCATCCAACAGTTATACGACAATGCTTCATGCCAAGTATTCCACAACAGGAAACTTACGGAAACCTCCGAAGTGAGGACGGGAGTAAGACAAGTCTGTTTACTGTCGCCAATAATCTTCCTGATTGCAGTAGATTGGGTAATGAGATAGACAACGGGCAATAAGGAAACAGGCATAAAATGGACTCACACAAAAAACTTGGAGGATCTGGACTTCGCCGATGATATATGTCTGATTTCCTACAAACTGGAAGATATGCAAGTGAAAAGCAATAATTTGGCAGAAGAAGCATCAAAGATAGGACTTCAAGTGAACATAGATAAAACAGAGGCGATGAAGATTCCTAGCCAACATCAACAACAACAACAGACAACAATCAGCCAGAATAAATGGGAGGAACCTGAAAGAAACAACCTCCTTTACACACCTACCTGGGAAGCATCGTTTCAACTACAGGCGGAACTGACGAGGATATCAAAGCCAGAATCGGAAAAGCAAGACAAGCTTTTATTACTCTTTAAGTCTGTGTGGAGGTCAACAGCACTCAGCATCAAAAATCAGATCCGGATTTTCAACTCAAGTGTGAAGTCAGTGCTACTATACGGATCAGAGACTTGGTGAGTCATAAAGAGCATCTCAAACAAACTTCAGACCTTCATTAACAGCTGTCTTCGCTCAATACTCAAGATCAGATGGCCAGAAAAGATCAGCAACAGGGATCTCTGGGAGCGAACCAACTCAGCAGGAACCGATTGTGAAACAAATAGGCAGGAAGAAATGGAGATGGATTGGCCATACTCTGAGGAAACCAACCATCAAGTGACATCACTAGACAAGCCATCGCTCGAGTGGAACCCGAAAGGGTAGCGGCGAGTTGGTCGTCCAAGGGTAACTTGGAGGAGGTCATGTGAAGAGGTAATGAAAGCATGTGGGCAGACTTGGAGCGGGGTGAAAAAGTTGGCAGAAGACAGAAGGCAATGGAGATGAGCAGCTGAAGCCCTATGTTCCTCTAGGATATAATAATAATAATTACTAACCTAATGAATGTTCACCTATTTAGTAATCACAGATTTTATGTTTCATGTAGACTCCTGGCCTGACAGTTTTAATGCGGGTAAAACTCCACCAAAACATCTGTCCGCTAAAATCTTCGGTTTCGGTTAGTAACAAGATTAAATTTGGCACCGATTATTGTTCAGCAGTATCATTTTGTGAAATAAAAAATGTATATTATTGTTCATTATAGTAATACGAAAGTAAAATTCAATTTTGATAACTTGGTTGTAGACTACGTATGAGAAAATTATCCTAAGAGAAGAAAGCACTAAATGTTTGTCTACTGAAAGTAAAATCGGTGTCAAATGAGGTTATATATGCAATGTGTACAAAAAGTGTAGGGTATTAGGTTCAACATTCGGTCAGCATTTAAACACGATTATAAATAGGTCTAACTAAACTATATTGCTACATACAGTTAGGTTTTTCAAATAAATCAAAGTAGATGTATCTGAATTCCAGTTTAATCAGTCCTTCATGTTTGAATGGCTCAATAACTGCTTTAGACCGTTATATGTTTGAATGGATTAGTAGCTTGCCATTTATAATAAACGGTGAGTCTAAATCAAGCGTTCTTAATAATGAATAATGATTTGTTCACTTCAAAGTGAATTTTGTAATATACAGACGGGAATTTTTATCGTATATAGTGTGACAAAGTCAAACACAACATTGACAAGTGCGCATTTTTGACGCTTAATGGTATATGTAATTCATTTTCTTAAGTACTAAACACTGTGTGAAATCTGCAGTTGACCAACAAGATTCTCCACCATTAAATTCTCTGATCTAGGAAATTGTTCTGCATATTTTCTTGAGTTTGTAAAATACTGAAAAGAGTAATTCAGGATTATAGCAACATTCCAAGTTGAGATACCTTTCAGTGTTTCTCCTTAATAAAAGTGATATTGCATGGTAATTAACTTATCAGTGCAGAAGATGCTATTTGGAAAGACTGAGTCATTCTTCAATATTCCTCTTGTAAAATAAATAGTCATAGGATAGGAGGTGCATTGAGAAGTAAATTCCACTTGGCACTGTTTAAAGAAGTGATGGCATGAATTCAGTGTTAGTTATGCAAACAGCATTTACGTACTGTATCCAGGTACATTCTCATTTTGTCTCTTTCACTCAAATGACCTCGTTCAGCAGATTTGATCTCATTATTCCTTGGGTTTTTTACTCGTGAACCATCACTAGTAGGTTTTCAATTGTTTTCTCCTTTCTGACATTACCACTCCGTAACTACGTGGTCATATTCATATCAGTACAACTGCATGCATACTCAACTTATTCTCTAAGGGTTACTTTCATCTGGAAAGTGTAATTATAACAAATTCGATGATACAATTATATCGTCAATCAATCAAGTAGTTGTTTTTTCGTTCTGAAAAATGAATAGTATCAAAATCGATAACAAAGTGTTGGGTTCTGTTTCTCTCGCTCTGCAACTGTTTTTCCTGGCTATATTAAAAGGATAAAATATAAATCAGTTAAACTGATATAAGTTATACCAAACACCACTGGAAACGTGAAATTATAACAATTGCAGTTTTCTGTATGTTGCTTTAATACATATGGTTACCAAAAGAGTACTGGTGATAGCATCGTATTACCCGTAATTATTATTGAAGATAAACTAATAAGACTAAGAAAAAATTACTATTTCTCAGTATCTTTGTTCCTCTAGGTTCCTAGTGCAACATAGGGCTTCAACAACACAAAACTTCAAAGGCTTAGCTGAGAAGCTTTCCGTTGTGGTAGATCACTTAACGTGTAGGTGGCAATCATACATAGATGTATATAAATAGGCGTTGAATGAGGTTGATTAGGGTTTAGAACACTTCGAAGTGTTGAAGTAGTAGTTTCTTTATTACTTCACAGTCAATGGTTTCGAATGCCTGTCCAATTTGAATGAAGGTCAGATAGACACTTGACTGCCATTCTACTCTTTCTTCGATGATGAGAATGATGATCATGATCACGAGGACGACGATGATACGTAGAGTTGCCATTTGATCAGCATATGATTTGCCTCTCCTGAATCCAACTTTTTCCGGGCTGACGGAGTTCTGCATCCAATGCATCATTCATTCCCTCCAGGATGACACAACTCAGTATTTGCTTGGTGGAGGCAACAGCATGATTATGAGCTAGTTCTTGCATAGCCTTTAATCGTAGTTTGACGTAGTAGTCCTTCTTCCAGTCAATCAGTAGACGTCTTTCCCACCTTCCTTCATCTACTCCCAACATTTTCCAACATTGGCGTGAGCATATCCACTGCGGTCTCTCCATCCGATTCAGAGCTTCCGGAGGAACTCCGTTTGCTGCTGATATTGACCTCCCCACTCCCCCACACACACTAACCTTCAGCCTCCGCTGCATTGCATTCAGGAGTTTTGTTTCTCTTCGATAAGTGGTGTCTACTGGCAGTTCTATGTGTACTGTTCGCGGTGGTATTTCTCAACGAGCTGAAGGTGGTGGTGGCCGGTTAAGGAGTCGTTCCAAGTGATCCACCTATTGTTTTCCATTTGTCTCTCCACCTTGGTAATTATTATTAGGTTCCCCTCACCATCTCTAATTGGTTTCATCATCTGGGTTGATCTCTTCCCGGATGATGGATAGAGACCTGCTTATTTAATATATAATGTTCTCAGGTCAATACCTCCTGCGGCCTATCTGTTCTGCTTCACTTGCCTGTCAGCCAGTGTGTCGCCCAACTATCTTCTGTCTTTTATACCACTCTCCTTCATGACCTTATTCACACAGATGTACAGTACATTGAAGTCAGCTTCTACTTCTCCTCTCTTCTTCTGTCCTGTCCATCTCGCGTCGCATTGTCTCATCATCTTCTTCTTCTGCTATCTCACCATCCCTCCTATTCTGTCTATTAGCTACCTAGCTAGTTTCCAGGTGTCCGGCCGTAGAGAGACAGCCAGCCGGCCATTTCTCGTCTTGCCTGCCTCTTCTTTCTTCCTAGAACGACTGTGCTGGTTCACTCGGACATCACTTTCACTTTACACAGTTCCAGTCTCCTTCCACACACGTCTCCTACCTCATTATGCCACGTTATCATCGAAGAATTTCCTGTGATGGCTACAGTGGAAATATCTTTTGTAATTTTGTCTTTCAGTTTCAGAATGTTGAAGTTGAAAGCTTCTAATGATATGCACATGCGTTTTCTTGTTTGTATATGCACTTTTGTCATTAAATGTCTTGTTTACTTCATTTATTTGCGAAATATTGGAACTGAATATTCATGTAATAAAATGTCCGTCATCTGGTAATTGGTGGTTCATATTTTCATTCAATTAACTGGAATCTGTGAGATAAGTTAAATGGCCTTGAAGTATATATTTTGCTCACATATCGCAAATTATTGAATTATAACCCATCTTCAAAAATTGGTTTGTAAGGATTTGGTTAATTCGTTACAGGATCTCATCATGAGCTGACATTGGTTAGAGCACCATTGGAAAACCTGAGAGTACTGGACAGCTGTTTTGTCCTAGTTTAGGACTCTTCGTCAATACGCACCCACGCATTTTGTACGTGGTAATTTCTGGGTTATCAAACTTGACAGTCTGGGGTTGAAATTCCCAAAGTAGAACAGAATGTTGTTCACTGCTACGACTTTTTCGTCGGTCCTGTCACGAAGATACCCGTCTGTTGGTTTGTTTATGAGTACTTGTTTGGTTAATTGTTGTCTCTTTTAAAATGTTTTCTAATCTCGTCAGGAAATAGGGTTGTAATCATAGCTAATCTTTGGGCTTTATAGAATAATTGCTATTGAAGAATTAAAAAAAACTGTTTAATTCATTTTTAGATTTGCTTTAACGGTGGAACATGTATTCATGAGCATTTCAGTTCTCATAACAGTAGTAAAAACAACGCTAGCGTCATAAAACAACAGAATGATTTATATGGAAGCTCTTCACCATTTTGTGTTTGTTCATTTGGCTACATCGGTGAAAATTGTCAAATACAATTAGATTTTTGTCAAATATTTCACAACATTAGACAAATCATACATTATTTTGAATATTCTAAAGAATTTGAAGATTACTTTATAGAACATTTGAACATTTCAAATCTTCTTTTTAATGATTGGTTGATTTCATCGGCCTTTACGTTCTCAAGAAAATCGTTAACTTGGGATGAACTGAATTCAGCATACTCGGCATTTATTATAAATTATACAATGCCTTTGATTTTGAATGCAAGCAATAATAATAACACAGTGGTTTTATCATGGAAGGAATCATTGAAGAATCATTTATTGGTGGATATAGGCAATACCTTTTTTACTCCTCTGAATAAAAATCATAGTTCCGCGTTGTTCTCAAGTATTTCCCCATTGGGTTTATGTAATCCAGAAGGAACTTCAAACTGTATGACTTTGACATCACGAAATGCTACTGGTGATGCAAACTCTGGATTTACATGCATCTGCCACTTAGATTATGAAGGCAGATACTGTGAAAAATACATAGATATTTGTGCGAAGATTAATCAGGAATATAATGAGGTGAGATGACACTCCCAAATAATGTTGTTATGATTACTCATGATTATAGCTGTTATTTTCATATGTTTCTTTTTATTTAAATCGTAGATTTACTATTAGGTAAACTTACTTCCATGAGTATATTAAAGATTGCAAAATTTATGATCGACTGCCTTACACTCGTCTGTAAATCCGAATATTCTTAGTTTTAATCATAATAATCCCAAGTATTCTTACTAACTCCGTATTTAAGTAGGATGCGTCGTAATCAGACAGCACTCATCTTTTGCAATTTATGGTCACACTGCTTAAACCCAACTGTACTTTTTAGACTTTCAGTAATTGCAGTTTAATCGACTTTTTCGTTGTAGCAGGGGTTTGTGGAATATCTCAGTATCTAAACATATTACAAGACCGTCTTGCTCACAAGATGTGGACTTCTCTTAAATAGGATAAAAATCATACAGTTTCTGCGACGTTTGTAAAATGCATTCGAAACAGTAGAAAGTATGTATAAATGAAGTTGGAGACGGAAATTGTTTGATGTTAACGGAGGTGTGTCCCATTGTGGTTGATTATCACCAGTTTAGGAAATCTTTTCTGTAATTGTCCAGGCATTTATACTTCAAAGGCTCATCGTTCTGAGTGATATTGTGACGGCAGAAGACAAGAGACTTGGTAGCGGAATGTTTATTTGCAATTCCATACATGTATAAAGGGAAGTCGCCGTTTGCACAGATTTCGTGTATTGTGCTACTTATGCCCTTCTTATTGTGTTTCTTTATCTTCTTTTCGTGTCTTCCATGTTTTTCCCCAATACTGGCTCATTTGATCTCTTCAACGTCAAATCTACCTCTCTGTCGTTTGATATTTTTGTACAAATGAACGTTTCCTTATGTAATACTACTGATAAATCTTATCAGTAGTACACCACAATACTACTAGTTAATAAGCAGTGATATGCATTTAATAATAATATTGATACTGTCATATTGTTTGGATTTTATTCCTGTTAACGTTTTCATTTCCCTGTATTACAGAATGAGGCAAGTGGAAGGGATGTTCATTTAGAGAACACTATATTTACAGTTCTTTGTTACGTTTGGTGAATACATAAACCTGCTGTTGAGTCATATTAATATAATTCAGAAAGTATTGGTTGATGTTCTATTAGAAAAACGTTCTCCTAATCTAGATACCGAAAAAGCCTTAGTAGAAATTACTGTCCTTATAGTGTGCTCTGTCTTTTATGTAGGGTGTCGTGTTGTAAAATTATCATTTGGATGTTAAAATCAACACTGACGCTGTTATTCATAGTCTTAATTCACCAACTAAGAAAGGCAGTATGTTAAGTAGTGACTGACTAGCTTAATTATTGGATTACTGATACCACTGTTTCATGAAATGAAATACAACTGACCCATTTTTATGTGCACTACATTTCAGTGATTTGCATTCCGATCTGTCACGTGTAACGTATGTGCTGATATCAAATTTGAAGTAGAATTACTGGGTTTTATCATTATTAAGGATGAAATAAGCAGTTCATATATAGCCGTCGCTTTTAATCGTCACTAACATGTTCTGACATAGAAAATTAATATGAGATATTGTGTGGATTTGGATTCAATGTAATTCAAGTGATATTTTGTATTGCTTACTTCAGAGCACTCTGAATCATATCTGAAGAGTTAATTTAGTTTATTAGTGCTCAAAAAGTCATTGTTTGTAAATTTAAAATAAATTCTGTCTTTTACAATGTACATTTAACTATAGAGCTACTGTTTAAATGGTGGTTGGTGCGAAAATCAAATTAAGCGAATTCCACCAAAAAGTGATCAAGCACTTGATGTACAACTGATACCTTTTTGTCACTGTCAACCAGGTTATGGTGGTAAAAGATGTGAATTATATCATGACTTATGCACTACATCTCCCTGTCTTCATGGAGGTGTTTGCCATCCATTCAGTTCACCAGCTCATACAGACTATGTAACTTCTTATACACCACCATACATTTGTGAATGTTCATTTGGTTGGTCTGGAATACACTGTGAAATTAGTTCTGGACTACAATGTGGAGCTTCAGAGTTATGTTTACAACAAAATCATTGTCGTGAATCGTTGAAAGCCGATTGTCCATGCAACCAAACAGGTAGATCTCCAGTTTTTAAAAAAAATATATGTCTAATTTAATTTTGAAGTTATTATGGTGTGGGATAACTTACTGGGTTGCACTAGCATGTTTTAAATTAGCTAAGCATATGTTTATTGTTTAAAATAGACTTAAAACACATGAATACTTGTCCATAAATTCCAAATAAGAAAAGATAGATCCTGCAAAATAAGTTTAGCCCACTTCTGTGAAAGGAAAATGCATCAGGAATAGTAGGCAACTTGATTCCTTAACCTTAAAGAGGCTAGAATTTGTATTGAGACAACGCTACTACTTACACTTAAGTCTACATAGATTTATACGTGATTATTTGTTGTGAAAATATGTGTTAGTGGTTCAGTAGTTACGTCATTTCAAGAATGTTTAAATCACAAATCGACATTAGTTAGAGAACTACTAAGTAGTAAGCAGAAATGAACAGCTTTCTATCTCAAATTTAGCATGAGTTAGTGATGATACCAACTTACGATGTTTTTCATTTGGTGAGAATAGTAATGTCAAGTCTTTGGAAAATGTTCTTTAACTACTGTTAATATGTACTGATTTTCTGTCATCACTTATTGACTGTCTTCGTTCTCGTTTGTGAAGATGTTTGTTCGGTGTATCTAACATCGTGAATTTTCAAAAAAGTGACGTACTTGCACTAACAGATAAAATCATATTGATGAATTATTGTGAAACCGTCTACAAGTAACTTATAGGCCGGTCAACATACGCACTAACATGAGATGGATTTGGTTGTTACATTCAAATTATCTGTTATAACTGAATCGCAAGGGTATGCGAGTCTGTTTTATAAGGTGGTTAGCGAACTTTGATTCTTGATGAGATCCCTGGTGCTGAAGTGTTGAATGTTTGAGTATTTAACGGGTCACTATAGTACTCATTTTTCTAAATTTCTCACTTGATACTGATTTGCTTATCTCCAGAATACTGACAGATCAAATGAGAAATTTCTTATTTACGTGATTTGTTTATTTCTTATGTTTCTACAGGTTACTGTGGTGTAGAGTGCGATACATTTGGTACTGATTGTTTTGTAGCAACAAATAAGAATAAAAATACTACAGTCAACAGTACTGGAATAGCGACTAATTTTGTGACCACTTCTTCTATTGCTGCAACTATTCTAGCTACCGTTACTACCTCCGCAATCCCTACTACGTCTATCACTACTACTATTAGTGCTAATACAACTGAGACAAAGATTCCTACAAGCAGTGTCAATCAATATAACACAGCGGACAGTGTAAATTTATGGTCAGGTGAAGAAACTGAATTATCTTATTGTATAGAGAATAATTGTCAGATTAAGGGTCATAATAATAAATGTGATCAAGAGTGTGATTTAATTGCCTGTGACTTTGATCATGGGGATTGTTTGTACGCGCTGTCAGTACCATTGAATCCTTTACCATATATTGAATTAATTGGAAGTAAAACAAGTTATTATATGAGATTTTCACATGATTCTCAGATTAACCAACGTCCAGAACCAGCTATCCCTTGGCGTACTTGTTCTGTGTTGATTGGGTATTCAGAGCATACTCCCTGTCATTTATTATTTGGAGATGGGAATTGTGATTTACAGTGTTCCAAAGAAGAATGTTTATTTGATGGTTGGGACTGTATCCATGAGAAAATTGATGTCAATCCAACAACAGATGTAAGTTGTCTCGATAATATGACTGTCTTCAAGATATTTGTTTAATAAACCAGGAAGTATGTGACTGTTGACGTTCGTCATTTGTTTGAAATCTCTATTAGTATAATCCAGTCACGTTATGTGTTAATTGATACAAGTAACTAGGAGGAAGTGCGTTAGAATGATGAATTCCATTTTTACCCAGATTTTGATTTACCTTCAATCATAACCCCAATCCATTTTCCTTAGTTGACCCATTTGACATTTTCTAGATTATCGCCATGTTTATATTTTGTTTAGCTTTTAGTACCTTTAATGGTCACTGGAGTAGAAGGCATATACAGGCATATATATATGAAATATTGATATAGCATCTTTTCCCTTATAAAGGAAAACGAAGAATTATGGAAATAGAGAGTTAAACTGAATGGGCATGTGTGTAGGTATATACAAGTATCTATGATATTGATTTGATAAATAATAATAAATCATCATAGGATAAAGAATTAAGACGTCAGTGGCACTATTGGTCATTTAACTGTTCCATAAAACTTAGCATAATTCACAAGTTAGTTCTTAAGTAAAACTCAGGAGATCCAGTTCGTTAGCCTTATCTCACTTTCTATGTATGAGCTCTTAGATAAAATGTAAATTTAGCATGATTTAAACTGGAACGTGTAGAAATTTTAAATGTTCTTTGTTTATTCTTTGTATCCCTAATATTTCAATGTTGTTAAAGCGTGGATTGTATTTCAGATATTTAAAATAAAAATAATGTAGGTAACTATACTTTGGGATAATTCTTTTAACAAGTTAATTGAGTTATATTATTGTTTCTCATTATTCCATTCCCAATTTAAAAATCAAATTTTATAAACAGTGATTCTCACATTTTCCATAATTTCTCATAATTATTTTCAAAAGAAAGTTTTGCTTAAAAAATGTAATAAATTAAATAATACATCCAAAGTTAGAAACTGAAAAGGCTCAATAAAAAGTGAAATAAATGTAATTCGAAAGTTTTTGGAGAGTTAACTGGTTTCCGGCTAATATTTTCTTCCGAATGAATATTGACTAACTAGCAAATCATTGAGGATACGGAGAACTGAACAATATACAGCCAAAACTCTAGTGCGAGATTGTGGTCAGTAACATTAATGTTTTGCAGTATGTGAGAACATTTATTCATAAATGTCATTTGATTGTTGTCAACCTTAACTGGAAGAAAGGATTAACCAATTCTGTTTTAAACTACTCATCATTTAATGACGTCATGGTTCCTTGCTCACTAACTACTCCATAAGGTCTTCAGTGCATATTGCTGAAGAGTTTCAAATTTACACTAAATATTGTCCTCGATAATCTTTGATTTTATATATTTCTTCTGATGTATGATAACGTTTTGTTTTGTTAATGCTGATATATAATGCAATGGCAAAGCATGTTTGCCAGCTAACATGACCTGGGACACTTGCATATTGGGAAACCAACGTATGCGGTTTTATGCTCACGATATATTTTATTGCCAGAAAAGGATAACAAAGAAATGTGAAACTAGTATTTGTTATTCAATATTTATTTTAACATTTAACACAAAGTAATTAGTTGTAGACACATCAATAACACAAATTTTAATTTATTTCATGAGTTCAATACAAGTGACTTTCTAGTCTGTAAATATGATAAGAAAATGTCAGTATATCATATTTGTTTGCGTTAATTTGCGCAGATTTGTTAGCAAACTTCTGGTGAAAGAGATTAGTATTTCATACTAAACCAGATAATGCAACATTCGCCATTATATTCCTTATTTTCGGCGTCACTGATTTGCCATAGTCAAGGAATAATAATTTGCTTTATTCCAAAACAGTACTTGTGATACAGAATGGAATTCTCATCATTTTACTACAGTATTGCATTCAGTTGGTACATTAACAATAAATAAAATTCTACATAGATTAAGGGTAATCTCAGTTAGTTTTGACAACAACATGTTAGCATGTCGGTAGCAAAGCTAAAATTGAACAGAGTGTTTGAAGGTGTTAGAAAAGTAAATGCTAGCATATTCACTGGCGTAAGCGGTAACAAAAGTTCGAGATATACAGAGTGTGACAGAACTAAGAATAATGTTTTAATAGAGCAAGAAACAAAACAGCACATAACAGAAAAAAGGGAAAGGGAAAAGAAAGAAAGAAAACGTTGTACCTATAAATGATGTGAGTTGGAAAGACGAGATCCAGTTGTTCTACTGACTATTTAATAAGTTGTAGGTATCACGCCTAATGCTTTCTTTATCACACAGAACACGAGCTAAGTAGGGTATGGTTGTGTTTTAGTACTTGGTAGTGCGAGCATATAGTTTTCTATATAGGTTTCTGGTTTTCCCCGATGAGATACAAGGGGAGAGTTGTGAATGAAGAGGGTGGTGAGTTAGATAAAATGGATTTAGCCCATTTTTCCTGCGTAATAAGGTATAGTCTTTCTTCAGTAGCCCAGGGAAAACTAAGGGGGAACATTCGAGAATAATAGGCAGAATGCGAGAGTTAACGAATTGTAGGAGTAAAGGTTGGGTCATACCAGAATGTCTTAACTTCTTGATGTAGAAGGTAAGACGGAATATTTTCTTAGAAATCATCAAGATATGAGACGACCAGGAAAGATCAGCAGAGAGAATGACGCCAAGATATTTAATTTCCGACTTGGTTTCTATTTCAGGTTTGATGATGATTTTAATTTTGCTGGACTATTATTTTATTGTCTCACCATGAATATTGCAAGTAGTTCAAATACTTTATTTGGTATTATTAATCAAAAAATAAGAATTATTATGGCTAAAATGCTTATTTGGTCCCATAATACCAAGTTGTAGATCGGTAGTTCCCCATACATTTTACTTGTAGTATTTTCTTTTGTTTGGTGACACTGAAGCGTATAAATGAGAGAGAGAGAGAGAGATAAGTGCGAAGCATTTGCTTTCAAACTGCCTACAAACATTATAAGGCACCAATAAATATTCTTACACAAGTGTGTATCCTTAATTCCTCATAAAGTTTTATTTTAGATGATTCACTGCTGTCTAGTTTTATTGTGCCCAGTATTTCTTTTTTTCACATTTAATGGTTATATTTTCTAATATTTCTTTTAATCAGGATATTTGTTCTGCTGAGTCATGTAAGGATTATTCTAATGATGATACATGTCAAATTTATTGTAATAAAACAACTGTAATATGTAACACAACTGATGAAAATAATTGTATACTGAATGATGATCGACTCCAGTCTAGCACAGTCCCTGATAAAGATGTCATGTTTGATAATCGTACATTAGTCAATGATAAACGTGATCACAATGATGTTGTTCCTGGAAGTTTAGTTCTATTAATTAATTGTACACCAGATGAAATCTTATCAAATTATACCAGTAAGCCTTCAGAGTTATCATTGTTATCTATACTCAATGAAATATTGCATTTAGAAGTTGAAATTAAACGTCATCCAGACACTGGTAAACTGATGATCTATGCAGTAACTTATCTAACTAACTATACAGAGGATAGTGATGATGGAAACGTTCATTATGATACTGGTGATACACAGAAACAACTAAGAAAGACATTATTTCACACAATTCAATTGAAAAATGAAAATAATAATCCACTTTTGCCGGAAACATATTCAGAAACGAATATTGTTCGTTCACGGTATTCACGTGATGTTAGGGAAAGATTGTCATCTCAGAAGACATTTACTATGAATTTAAATGATAAGAGAAATTATCATCAAGAAGGTATTGCAAGTCAAGTTTATTTACAGTTGAATTCAAAAAAATGTGATAAAACAGGTAAGAGTGAGTCCACTGTAATTTATTTTTCTTTCCATTTGTCATTTTTCGTAAAATAAATATCTTTATAGTGTTTTGCTACGATGAGGAAGATACATAGCTCAGTTGGATGATTTTGATTTGGTTGTGTTTTCTGAACTGGTTGATTTAACTGCGGGTTACTAAAATTAGAGAAATATGAATTGGAATTTACATTTAAATCTTGAAACGAACTGACCAACTTTTTTCATAATGCGAGACATGAATTCTGGGTAAAACAGACACTTAAGAACGAAGTATTCCAGACAAGGTGAGATACAGCTGTAAGGATACTGAAGAATTCTAGAAACAAGCATTACAATAATGAGAAGAAAGGAAGTGGTTAGTTGAAACAGGAACATGAACAGTGAAATACTTACTTTTACTTTTATCATGTCTTTAATTTTATTTTACATTTTGTATAATTGAATAAACGGAGCCTAAAAATATTGGGTAATACTTTCATTTCTGTCTTACATTTGAATACGTCTTACTCCATTGTTACTTAAACAATACTTTGTAAGATTGAATCTTAAACTAAAGAAATGATCCATCTTGATCCCTGGTGATATTCAACTAAATGACTGCAGGGGATCATTTTCACTTGATATTTTACATTTACTGGAATATAAAAATAGTCCAGTCGGTCATTTTCAAGACTCTGAAGCCGATTCAGTCTCAAGATTTGCTACCATTTCAACAATAGTCTGTTCTTTTATTTTATTTGGGTTATTATTAGACTTCAAAATAAACTAACAAGTTTTTACAAAAAACAATCAGTACTATGGTAACTATTTTATCAAGACAGAATACTACAGCATACTTATTTGTAGTAGTAGTGTAGATGCGGATGAAGTATAACTGACCATTTTTATGAAACAATCGCCAAGATTTATAGCTTTGTATTCACTTGCAACTTAATTTATATAACCATTTTTCTTTGTTATTAATGGTCATTTCTACGCACTAGAGAAAGATAAAAGAACACAACAAACATAAAATTAGACAGGTCGTAAGGGAAAATGAAATAATTTGATAAAATATTTAAGATGTTGAGAATTGTGAAGACTAAAGAGAGTGGAGAGAATCCTTTCATTTTAAAAGACTATATTCACTATGTCCATGAACAGTTGTCAACCATTAATTCTTTACGTCTTGAAGATGTCATATAAATAACTTGCATTTGCTTACGTGATTTGTATCAAAACTGAGAGACTTCTGTGAACTGGTACAGTATACCTCGCTCCAAATACCTCTTACTTTTATCCGACTAAATTCTAATTCAGATAACTTTTTTTTCGTAAGAATTCATTGACTTGGGAAGCATGCGTTATTTTGATTTGACACTAGTAACTAATGTGAAGCGTCTAGTCATCTGATTGGTGTAGACTGAATTCTGTCAGTCAGGTTGGAATGTGACCACCATTCCTTCACAGGTTCCTTCAAGGTTGCAGATACGCCTTGCTGACGAGTGCCAACTAGCGCGAAACCTAGGTCCAAGGCTTCCTGCCGATTGCCTCCAACCATCTAATACCATCAAAGCATGAGTTATGTATGTCCGAAACAAGTTCCCTCTTAACAGTTTAAAAGATTTGGACATTTAGTATATGATATTCACTATTATTAGAGTTTTTGTATTTCCCGATGAATGGAAACAATGTCGTTCTGTTTTTCATTCATTGAAAAATACAAAAACTTCTATAATAATGCATAAGAGTCATGTTTCTAACACTTCTTCAGCCAGTGATAATCGGCAGTTGCATTAACTCAATCTTCTCCCGTGATTAACTGTTTAAATTTTTGTTTCTCAGCATTATTCAGTTTGCGCCCAGACATTCCTACAAGTGAATTTGTTGTCAAAATAGCACACTTCACAAACCCTTTTTTAGAGTCATACAGTCATAAGAAGGGTCGAAATCCATTACTATATGAAGTATTTACCTTTTGACAATTCACTAATTACCTCACTGGCTGTAAAGTAATGTCAAATGTTCTGAGATAATACAACAATGATGTTTCTTCGAGGACATGATTTTTGGCGTTGGTATTTTGGAAACTGTGAATGCCATTACAAAGTTATTTTCTTGAGGTAGTTTTAATTACTTCTTGTTTTCTTATTTCCTCTACGTAAGTTTTTTCATGCCAAAATTGCTTGGTACTGTTTTGAGTTGAATTCTGCAAGGTTACAGATTTGACTGTTAATTTTGATTGGGAAAGACCCTTACAGTTCTAATTTGTGTATAAGAAAGCTAGGTTTCCTTCATATTAAGAAATTAACGATACATCAGGGACCACTATTGTCACGGCTTTTTAAAATAATGTTTGTTTGGAATGCCACATTTCTTTAGATAGATTTTTACATTATTTCTGGTCTATTCTTTTTATCACTAATTTTGGTAGTTAGTTGTGAAAGTAGGCATAGAGGTATTTATTCATGTTTAGGCATGAACAGTCACTTAATTTTATTTTTTGTTAGTTATTTCATGTGTGCATTCACTATTGTGTATTAAAACACATATGAATGTGTATACAACACTGTGTTTAAATGCTAATCAGATTTAAGCGTGTTACACTCAAACAAGCTAATACACCAAATTGACCTTTTCATTTCTTCTCTCACTTTTTCTCTCTTTCTTACCTGGTATCAGGGTGATCAGCTTTTATATCTTTGTATTTATGTTGTTACTATCATTGTTTGTTCTGCGAATTCCCTACTCTGTGTATTTCAGAAAAAAAGGGAACTGCCTGTCATTCTCTGAGATCATTTATCATTTTAGTAGTTTACGTAGAAAAAAGAGAACAGAACAGTAGTCACAGTGTATCTGTCTTCTATATGTATACAACACATGAGTCAGGAGATCTATATGCAGAAAAATAACAGTTAAAGGAAAGAAAGAAACAAACAGACAAAAAAGCATAAAGACGCATCCAGCTATCTGTCCACTTATATGCCTTCAAACAAACGCGCACACACAAACAGAAATCAAAGATTAAAGAAATGTTCCCTAATAGTTCCACTTATTTTGAAGTTTAATCAATAATGACGACTAGTTGCTAGTGTTAAACTGCATGTTTATGTGCGTGCGGTATATATTATTATTAGGATTCGTGTATATATATATATATATATATATATATATATATATATATATATGCCTATTCGTAACATTTGTGAAGCATGAAATTACTACTATCATGACTACTACTACTATTACTACTACTACTACTAATAATAATAACAATAAAGTGTAGTGGCATTGCATAGTTAGAAACCCAAAACAAGCCTCGTTGTATCAAAACTACTTTTTCTATTCTTCCAGTTATATTTCTAACTCTTTTTCTATATGCGTACCATACGAAGTCAGGTTTGAATAATGTTTTAAAAAATCGAATTTATGAATGTGTAGTATGATCAATTATTCCATCACTAAGATCAAATTGGATAGTGATCTAAATTCTTTAATACACTCAAACAGTTAATATGAGGACTGTATTGTTAATACAATTGCAAAGTATAACTGATTCTCTTCCACTTAATCTATTAGTTCGAATATCAGTTGACATAGAAGACTCTGTACGCTTTTTGTCTTACTGCGTAGCGTTGAGTTATATTTGCTCATTATCATCTAATATATATATATATATATATATTTGTAGTTACCATTATCGAAGACAATATCGAGTAGCACTGTACACTTGTTTTCGTTTATTCATTGACATGCTGACGATTTGACATCAAAGAGAATTATAAGGACAAACTTGCTCTCATCTGTCAGTTGTCTTCAATCCAGTTGACAAAGGCTTATTATTATGTGAAAATAATAAAAATCCAAGTCATAGATTCATGTTTATTAGATTATAGAGCTCTTTGTTAATAAAAGTGTGCTATACACTAGTGGACAATTGGAAGTACTATGTGTTAATAACCGACAGTAGTTTATGCCTAATCTGTATTCCGAATATGTTAACCCTCATCAAACGAACATTCAATCAATATTCTAGTTTATGAGATTGAAGATACAGCCGTTCCGATAAGAGATTCTTTCTTTGGTTAATGCGAAGACGCTAATGTAATGCAGCTTTTGTATACTTTGAGTGATATTTCGTAAATTTTCAGAATCCACGTCCTATTTCTCAAATGTAACTGATTACTGAAGAAATTTCGTGCACTTGTAACTTGTCCAAGTACTTTCGTAACACCGTGGAGACAGAAATAATTATCTTGCACTAAATTACACAACCTACAGCATAGACTAGTAATCTGTTTGGTCACCGAAAGACCAATTTGTCTCATCAAAGTGAACCCTGTTCAGCACAGGCACTGGAAATCGAATATTTTCTAAGGCTCTTTGGTATTTCATTGTTATTCCACTCATAATGTACTTAACCAATAAAAATAATGTTAGAATGAATACAGACTTTCAGTAATGTATCTTAAATCTGTCCATAGAGTTTGGCATAGAAGGTTTTTACAATGTGCGTCGATGAAAAGACTAAAATACATCATTCATATTAAGCAAATTGTAAAATGCTCCACTGGTATCTTTCGAAAGTTTTTACTGGTGAACAGTCAACTATAGTCTGGTTCAAGACTTTACATTAGAGATTACCAGGTCCTAATACATCACAAAGTACTGTGATTTCAGTATTAGCGACATTTTGGGCTCATTGTGATAATAAATTAATAAAAAGAAATTCCAGCAGATTAGTTCGATGTCAAACGGTTTTCCGACAGCTCTATAAAATTTTTTAAAAGAATTAAAAATAAAATATGTATTTCCTGTTTCCATGTAATTACAATAATTGTAAATAAGGGCAAAATAGCTGTCTTTCATCTCTTTTTACTCAATGTGTTTCGTTAACTGAAGCCTTCCTTTCATTGGGCTAATTTACCTTTGGCAGTCGAATATTTGTTGATTAAGTAAATTATGTCTGTTACTGACGCATTATTATAATCTAAAACTGACAATCTTTCATGGATG